CAAAGCACATTTTGTTGAATCCAGCAATGCTGTGATTGATAAAAAAGTTCTTGGTAAATCAGATACGCTTTAAATGAAAACTATGTAAGAAGAAAGCATACTGATCCAATGATCTTATATTGCTGTGAAGAGTTTGATCAAGTTTTTCAAATATCTAAGTAAAAAACTCAAAAACATAAAAAGAAAATATAACAGTAATCAACTCACTTCCAATCTTAACTCATTATTATAGCATAATGCAAAGAAAGCTGCCTCTATGCGATTGGCCCGCATGTTGTACCGTGCAAAATTTGTTGCACTGAGTTTGATAGCGGTCAAATTGTTGCACGGTTCAACAAATGTTGCATCCATCCATACGCAACACACCATCTTCATGTCAAATATTCCCCTTTCCAAATGTTCTTGGTTTTATTTTTTCGTATCCACCAACTGGCAAAGAAGCGAATAAATGTTATGTGCATGTCTTACCGCAAACCCGTCGAGACAATTTCTCAAAATTCAAACTGAGAAAGTGCTTGTTTAGTACTGTGTACTTTTATATATATAAAAATTATGCTTATACAATATTATAGACAGTAGGTCAAAGCATGCCCACTATTGATTGCCATAGACTTATTGTTTTAAAATCCATATTGCCAGTACGAAACTTTTAGAAAACAGAAAAATAAGTCATGCAATGCAATTATAAAGGTTTTTTGCGCCAGAATCCTGTGTACTTTCTTTTTTTATGCTCAAAAGCATGTTTTAGAGAGGAATTTGTGAGAAATTTTATTAAAAATTCCCGCTGCGGCCTGTTCCAAACAGTGGGCGTTGCGTGTGAGTGAAAACGAGCTACATTTCACAGATTTTCGCGCATGACAATGCCTTTCTCTGACCTTAGCGCTGGAACAGGTGCATTGTCAATATAGTCTACATAGGAGGGATCAAAAACTTCAATAACGTATATGGTGAAATGGAGATCAACATTTAAAACCTAATGCGTCGGTCTACATAGTGTAAATTGCGAGCGCATGCGCACCACATTGGACAATACATAATGTCGGCACCATTGGTCGGCACCATTGCAAGCGTGCGCTGTGGCAAGATGTTGTGGAAGCTGTAGCTGACATTCCATATAAAATTGTGTTTTTTATCAAATATAAATGATAGCAATCAGTTTAAAAGAATCTAATCTTTTAAAACACTTCCTTGTTGATAACAGCTATTCAACTTTTAATATTTTTAAACTGCTTCTTAGATCTGTCTTTACTTTGGAAAAAATGCAGGCCATAAAATAAGGACTAGAAATATAAGGACTGTAAGTGCGAGGGCAAGTTCCTGTCTTTATTGCTTTTTGCTCGTCGAAGTTTTGTCATTCAAAGTCTCCAGTTTCAACTTTTATTTGGTTCAGAATCAGAGCCGTAAAGACTTCATTCTAGTGAGCATGCACTCACAATTTTCATTACGTTGCCTCGATCAAATAAAAGCAGGGGCGGACTGGCATTTTTCTTTTGGGGTGGCTTTGTTGTTTTGAAAGGGCCATTAGGGTGTGACCAGGCCAGAAATAGATTTTGTAACTTAGGAAACCCCCGGGGTGACCCTGTCCGAAGATAGTGAGTTTACCTTCCGGAACTCGTCACTTTTCCATTTCTCTTTATACTCCATTCCCCGATTCTCCATTCCCTGTTTTAGTAGTAGCCCTTGCAGAGTCAGTTTTCCTGATCACTATATTTTCAAATTGGTTCTTTTATTATAATTACAATGGGGCTTGAGCTAATTGACGCAAATCGAATGCAGCGTCGTCATTGGTAGTTAATTTTGCAATTATTAATAAAAGCTATTTGAAAGCTTTATTTCTTCTTTGGTGTTTTTTCTAGAACCTAGAAAGATCAGCAATTACTGATACTGAAAGGTCTGATGAATAGGTTTTTTATAAGCTGAAATCGAATTTCGTGGAGTTAAATATTAGCCATTAACTGAACCATTGTCTCCATAACCAGTTGCTCTTCACCTGTTATTTTAAAACACGCTCCCTTTATGTTCAAACTCTTTCAGGGTAATCGTCTTTTTATGCTCCTATGACACAGGAAAGTCGCCTGTGGCAAATAACAAGTTGAATGCTTGTCCGTGCTGAGTATTGGGGTCTTTTTACTAAAGCAAATTTATCCCACTTTTCAGGCAATAAGCTGACCATTGGAATGAATACGTAGCTTGTTAACATGCAAGCACTATCCCACTTTCCAGTTGATGGCTTCTTTTTTTCCAAATTCTCAGGTTTTCCAGATACCGCTATAGGCGGTTATACGAGTAAAGTTCAAATAAACACACGATGGAAATTACAAAGTTTGTATAGAAAAGTCGGATCTCAACTCTAAGATCACTGGTTGAATGGTGAGATAAATTTGATCATATAAACAGGCCCAGAATGCTTTGTTTCAGGGCAGTTTCTAGCACCTTTTGCGCGTGTCTTTGTACTGCAGTTTCGCAGTGAATGCACACTCATGTTGATGCAGACATATTTCATTCAACGTGTATGTGCATGTACATGATGGTATCTATAAAATGCCAGCAATATGAAATTCATGATCGTTTTCTTTACAATTCATGATCGTTTTCTTTTGTCTTGGTTTTCGAGTTAAATCTATGGTATCTGAATGTATCCCAGCCCTGTCGCCAATTTGAAGCACACGATTTGCTTGTCGCAAATATGAACCAATAAATCAAAGAACAATAGCTCTCAGAAGTCTCACAGGCATCTAACTCCTCTCTTTCTCGTTACTTTATCTTTCATTAAATTGTTTACAATATTGTTTACTGTAATTAATAATAGCAGGTGTAATTGGCCTGGGTACTTAAATGAGCTTATCTTATGTGCTGAATATATTGAGATATGCAGCGGAATCAATCCGGGTAGTATTAAATATATTACCTATTTCATTACAGAAAAACGTGAAATACTAATGTGGGAGTAATAAATGTGGCAAGACTATGGCATAAGCTTATGCCATGCGCGCTAGGCTATCCTGAAATAGAAACAAGTATCGATATTAAGTTTTTTCGATCCTACAGTCAAAAACATTGCTCTTGTGTAGGAGAATTGCAAGAACACGGAAGAATAAGAGAACCGAACTCAATCGTGTAAGAAATAGGAAGTCTTAGTGAGAACAAAAGTTGCTTTTGATGAGATCGTGAATAAGAAGTTTGCATCATTACACTTACTTTAGGTTTGATGTCATAATTCTCTGAATTGGTGACATATTAAGTTCTAATCGTATCTTAGATTTCTGGTTTCTTTTTATTACAGTTTTTGTAATTAAATAATTGATTAGGGCTAGCAAACCGCAAGACAATCATACGAAGTTAGTGCACCATGGTACCAAATATCGCTGAAATTCAGACATAACAGAATCTCCAAGATTGTTTCCTATGAACAGCTGCAAGAACTTTTGCATGGTTTTCATTATGTACCCCACGATTAAGTAAAGAACCATATTATTTTCTCACTGTCACTGCGTTCTTTGCATAAAAAATCGCATCGTGAAGAGACTTTTAGGAAAGATTAGATTTGAAAAGCTCGTTAAAATTAGCCCTCCCAAACTACACAACTTCAGTTTTCACCTGCTCCCGCCCTGCGTAGTTGATTCGGTGCATTCATTCCTCGCTTGCTTTCTGAAAGTGACGCACACGGGCTTCTCTGAGTGATACGTTGGAACAGAGAGAAAGTACTTCTGGCTAATGTACTTGATGGAACAAGATTAAAGGTATGTGCATTTTTATTACTTCGTGCCTTACACTACACCCCTTTTTATACAAGAATCAAATATTTTTGACACAGGTTTGATGTTCCTATTTTCTGGATAACTTCAGGCTCGAGTAATCTTAATTATATTCTTATCTTAACATTGATTTTGCTACTTCCTATATTTTGTTCCTAAGACTACTTAATAACAGTTTTGCACGATGTTTTTAGTAATATGGTTGTTTAGCTAATAAAATATACACTGTTACGTATTCAAAGAAACAGCAAAAGTGTAAAAAAGTGGCTCAAAACAGGTCGGAGGTGTAAGTTAAAGAAATTTGGACAGGAGACGATGTTTTACTGCAGAATAACATGGGATGGGTATGATGCAGGAATTGTTTTAAAATAGCATTAGCAAATATACGCTCACATGAAAAATATATCCTCGATAATGAAAATTCATGTAACAGTTTTCTCAATAACAATGTCTTGGCAGGTCATGCCATTAACAGAAGAGCGTAGGTTGGAAACATTTATGATATTGCTGACGGGTCGCTTCGACAAACAACGACAAATTATCAGCTGCAGCCTGCGTGCGAGTAACGATGCCTCTATATGCATTACTATACATTAACTACAAAAAATTTCGTCGTGACAAAATCTCGGACAAATATTTGGACGAAATTTTCTTCGACAAAATTCAAAAAAAGACGAAATTTGGTCACGGCGAAATTTCTTGCATTTAAAATTTTTGAGAATTCGCATAGAAAAACTTTTAAGGAGGCGAGAGGGAGGCAAGAGGAGCAGGTGCCCCCATGGCAAAAAATATTTGAAAATAGGCGTTTTCTGGCGTTCTAAAGGGTGTGGACTCTAATTTTCCCTTGATCGACGCGCTTTCCCCCATCCCCCCCATTTTACCACCCTGGCTACCTGTTCTGTCTTGTCGCCGGTTTCAAAAGATTCCACCTCAGTCTTTTTTTACTCAACTATACTATAATATTATTTCTTTCATTCGTTCAAGATATTTGCATTTTTCAACTCAAATTTTGAACTCAACAGGAAGCAAACTTTCCAAACCAACATTTCTTGTTGGGGATGGTCTTATGCTTACCGAATCTTATACTTATATTAACACTTTTACTTTTAATTATATTCTGTCTATAAACTGTCATACCATTTAGATATAGAGTAGAGACTCTTTGAATGCTAAAGGCATTTCTGTTGAACCTGCCTTTGCATAAACTGAGTAAATCACCGCTTTAATGTGGTTTTTCTGACATGCTGCCTGGGGTGTTGAGCCAAATTCCAAACAGGTGCTCAAGACCCTAATAAGCTAATAAGTTCAGAACTATGAACCAGGTTTAAGTCTCTACGAAGTCGGCACCTCTGTGGGATTGAGTATAAAGCAATCTGTATGGTTTTGCCTTTGAAGATTTTGGTAATGTGTTGCTATCTTTGCGTTAAAAATCCACGATGAAATTTTGTCACGACGAAGTTCTGAAAAGTTGACCGAAATTTTTTCGACAAAGTTTATCCGACGAAAATTTCTGCTGTTAATTTACTAGAATATACGTCATTGTTATTTTGGGCAAGGTGCGAGCACAAGAAGTCAAGCGTAGCTGCGAGTATTTGCAAGTTTTTCGGGCTTGGCCTACGAAAAGAAACGTCGTTGAATAACAGGTTTTACAGTACTTCAGGCTTAACTTGTTTTTAATTGTTCTTAATTTTTTGTATTGATTGATTGTACGATATATTTAATTTTTGTTGTTACAATAGAGGATAAGCACTGATTCAGACTCCCGTGTATCAATTTTAAGGATTGTATAAGGCAGTCAATTTACTGCATGGAACTAAATTTTTATCAGATTTTTTAATTCTTTTGAATGTTGGACTGTTTTGATTTCATCTGGAAGTGAGTTAAAGATTTTCGACCCTTGGAAACTGAGCGACTGATTACAAAATTTCTAGTTCCAACCTTTGGTATTACATTTTTCATACTAACTATAGATGTTAAAATTGTTTCAATGCTTTTAACGCAACGCGAGAAGATGCACGTTTTGATGCATGTTTTCTTATGAAATTGTTCTATGAAAGAGTGTACTTATTCTTTATAGGCTGGTGTTATTTCAAGCAATAGCCTTTAGAAAAGGTCTGACTTGGAGGTGATTCCTTGATTTTTCTTGCCAGAAGTGCTAGAAAGAACAACGTAAGAATATAGCAAGCCACGTTGAAAAACGGAGCATATTTTGTCAGAATTTTGTCTACTGAAAATGTTATTTAGTGGACTTTGCGGAAATTTTTTAGAATGTAGCTATAAAAAATAAATGTTGAATAAGATCGGCATTACGAAAACCCAAGCTTTTAAAATTATGCGAAAAATAGGAACATCGAGTCACTGCCATCGGGTTCATAAAACAATAGAGTGTAATACACCAATGCCTTAATTTTTTCTGTGATTAGGAAAGTTTTCCCTTAAATATTCACTTCCTCTCCCCCCCCCCTTTTCCTCCGCTTTGTCATCTGGGTCATTCCAAAACTTGTAAATCCCACCATTAGTTCTCTTTGTATTGTATCTCATCTAACAATCTGTTTTGTGTTTGTAACCACTGTTGCGAGGATAAAGGGTTTGTGCAATAAAGCAAAAAGAGATTTTGATGCTTCAACGATTCGCGTTATTCAATGTGGCTGGACTTAATGCATTGCTATCTTTCTCACGAAAGTCGAAAAGGAAATTGATGTGTTGGTAGTTTTGAGCAAAATACCGAAAAGCTCATGAAGAAAAAGACATGACACAGGTTTGGCCCATCTATTATTTTTGATTAGCAGTTAGGAAAACGTGAAGCGATAATTTGACTCTTAACTTTGTTTTGATGGCTAATTTGCTTACATCTGCTCATCGTGCTAGTTTTGTTATATTGGCTCATATTTTTCGAAGCGCCATAAATTTTCCATATATTTCGCTCCATTAATTTCACTGATGATTCAAGTGAAGTATGAATTTCTAATGCACATTTCCCATCGCCCAACCTGATTTTGCTTAGCAATCGTAGCAGCTGGTTGAAGGATGATATTTTAAGCTGCAAGCCATAATCTACGGATACTATCGATAATTTCTGTTGATAATGAGAAATATAGTGAGAAAAACTCAAATCTTAAATCAAACTTTCAAATTTGTAACACTTTCTGTTGTCAGATTCTATCGAATTTTTCTTACAAATTGACGTTGTTGTCGTCATTTGGGCAAACAAAGAAATGTGCCAGATTTCGCGCGAATCTTTATTATTAGGACACAGGTATCTGACGACCTCGCCGGCTGCTCTTAAAATGCTTTATTCAAATTTATCAAGTTTTATAATTTATGAAATCATAAGTTTATCGAATATTTGCCTAAAATTCACAGAGCTCTTTGAAAATATGCACTACAGTGCATAGACTATCGGGAGGGGGGTTGTAGCCCCCTTTCTACCACCCTCTGTTTTTTCCCCTTTTATTTATAGTTTGTACATCATTTTTGAACCAGTTCCACCTGAAGCATACGCATGTCAAAATTGATGGCACCAGAAGAGAATAATCTTTGTTCCTTGACATCACCGCGGCAAGCAAACCGCTGAATACATCTTTTTTACAAGAATTTTATAATCTTTGTCCAGCCTCGAAATTCTTGAAAGATTTTTATTTTCAGCCTGAATATATTCTCAAAGTATTCTTACTTTTTTAAATATAATAAGGCTTCAAGGGAGCACCCCCCAACATCGAATAGAAACCATGCTTTTTAGACGATGGATGTATCAGTCATGTGATTGATATTGTAAACAATCTTTTGGTGGTACTAAACTTGAAAATGGCTTTGAAAAAGCAAACATTTAGTAAACTAAAGCTTTTCGTCTGACACTCTTCAGAGTTTAAAACGTCAGAACATAGATCGAAAACTCTACGCTGGGAAATATATACCCAGTTGTGGATCGAAATAGGCCAATCAACCACAATTGATTGATATTGTGTTGTGATGCAGTGTCTCTTTGCATTCAAACCAGCCTAATGAAAATTAAGTGTTAGTTCCTTTATGATTTGTACCCAGTGATGTAGTCATAAACTTTTCAGAAGTATAACACAAAAGTTTAACACAAGACAGCGCTTCATTCTTTTTTCTCAGAAATATAAAATATTTGTGCTCTTTAATGCATCTCTGCATTGAGCACTTAGCTGTCAAAGTGTATATACTTTCGTAGTTAATACAACTACAAAGGGCATCATCATCATCATCGTCTACTGTTCAGGCTACTAGAGGCCCACAGTAGCTTCTACAAACTCCCTAATTTCTTTCGATCTTGTGCTACTCTCATCTTAGTGTAGCAATTTGTTTGTATTTGTATTTGTTTCTACCTAGCATCCGAAGGTAGTTTTTGGGACACTGAGAAGCTTATGCTTATCGAGCAGTGTCCTGGTCATTCCTCTCGATGTGACCACACCTCGTGATTCCTATGGCTGGAAATTCAGAGAGCTGGCGACTCTTCTCACTCTGGGTGAAAGTTTGGTCATGCCAGGGACTCGATCCACGGACCCTTGGGTCTATAATCAGTGCCTCTAACAACTGAGCCATTCTCGATGTTCTGCAGATTATCTGGTTGTCCTTTTTTGTTCTTCCGCATCCTCTTTTCATTGAAATTGGTATCCACGAAGTGATCTACTTTGTCATATTTGTTGTTTCCATTCGGGGGACATAAGTTGCCCATTTGCCACTCTACTCTTTTTTCTTCGAGTTTTTTACAACATCAAGCCATTTATTTTGTGATCTTAAGCTCTCATTTGTCCACTTGCTCAGACATGTGATGTTCTTTCCATGCTTCTCTGTAACTTGTTTTTGCCCCATTTGTTATTGCTTGTAGTATAGCTCCATATTGATCTTTATTTGGGGAGAGGCTAGTATTGAAAGTCTAGTCAATTTAGCTTCTTTATTGGTTACTGAAAAATAGCTTGGTTTGTTGTACTATGTCTAGTATGATATTAATATTTAAGAAGCATAGAGCCACTGTTTGATTGGATAGGTAGTGTAACGATGAAGTCCAAACATTTCAGGAAGCATCACCACGGCGTAATGCCGCATTATCCGTCCCTATTATACCACTGTTTTTTTATAAAATTTAAAATTTTAAGCTACAACAAAGCTACTCAAATACATGTCACTCACAATAGTAAAGGACGCAAGGTCATCTAGTCTCCATTACGATCGACCTTTTACAATTTTCAATTACATCTAAATATAAACACAATAAAGGGAGAGAAGTAAAAGAAACTAAATCAGGAAAAGTAAGGTACCTCTAGAAAAATTTACACACATTTTTTACATAATTTACATGTTTCAGAGGTAGATCAGGAAAATAAAAAAATTAAGAGAAGGAGTTGCTGCTGTTGTGTTTTCAATTAAAAGAATATCTTAGTGTTTTTGATGAAGTGAAGTGTGGCCTCAATAAGAAGTCTATCGGCAAGTACATTTAATTCGGAGCTTCCATAAAGTATTAATTCACAAATTTCCGTTGCGGAGAGGTTTGAAATTTTGAGTCCAGTGACTTCAGAAAGCCGACCAAAGAGCTCGTTTCGCATTGCTGGGAACAAATGGCAGTGCAGGAAAAAGTGCTCGTTGTCTTCATCACCTGCGCCACAAACACACAAGGGGCTCAGGCAATCAAAGTTGTGTCTAAAACTGTGTGCGTTTAAAGGGCTGAATCGCATTCGAAGTTGGGTGAAGTATTTTGTTACCGTTACTGTAGAATTTACAAAGACTGGTTTTTTTGTGGGTCTTATTACAGACAAAAATTTACGTTTAAATTCTGAAATTGATTTTGAATCTGTTATTTCGCTGTCGAGAAGATTAAATTCATAAATTGTGTTTATAAAATAGCTATTAGAAAAACGATTTGTCCTACAAAAATTTGGGTCATAATTTCGAGGGTTTCGAATCATGTAAGGTATCTGTCGCTCAGGAGGAATTTCGTTAAACAGATATTCTGGTGTTTTTGATTGTCTTAACTGGAAAAAATGGCATAGTCTTCGATATCATCTTCTGTCATACATAGACTCCCATCCAAGTTCCTCATATATTTTTTGCCTGCTGGTCCCTTTCCAGGCACCTGTGACAGCCAGAGCCGCCGTATACTGAGCTTGCTCAATGCTTTTGTGACAGTGCTTCTCAAATCTGGGTCAAACTTGTGGTATATTATGTCTCCATAGTCTAGGTGAGGCCTAACGTAAAGCTTGTAAACTTGATCTAGAACATCTCTAGAAACATATTTTGAGAGGTATTTTATGAGGCCAATGCCCTCCTAGCTTTTATTACAGCTTCTCTAACTTGTGACTGAAAGTTTAGTTTAAAATCTAAAATTACTCCAAGATGTTTGTGTTCATTCTTTCTAGTAATGATTTGATTTCCTAGCTCAATTGAGGGATGGAATGGTTGCTGTTTTTTGGCAGAAAATATAACTTCTTCTGTTTTATCAGCATTAAATTCCATTTTCCATTGCCAAGCCCATTTCTTGATTTTGTCTAAGTCTTCACTAATCTTTAAAGCAGTCTGAGTTGCATCATTTACTATAAAAAAGAGTGATGTATCATCTGCAAAGAGCTTAACATCGCAATTAATATTGTCTACTATATCGTTGATATAGATTAAAAAAGGTAAAGGACCAAGTACAGAGCCTTGGGGGGTACTCCTGACGACACCATTTGCCACTCAGAAGCCTGGCCGTTTAAGATAACTCTTTGTTTGCGGTTATGAAGAAAGTCTTCAAAAAGCATGAGCAAGCTACCAGAAATTCCATTACATTGTAATTTATATATTAACCCCTCGTGCCAGACTCTGTCAAACGCTTTCGACAGATCCAGGAAAATTGTCCGTGTCTCCTTACTAGGTACTTCCTCAAATCCACTGTAGATTTTATGACTGATCAACAGTAACTGGTTTATAGTTGAGTCGCCTGGTCGAAAACCAGACTGGTACTCAACTATGAGCCTATTGTCGCATAAGTGACTGTAGATGGCATCGAAGATAAGCTTTTCTAAAAGTTTTCCGAAAATCGGCAAAAGAGATATTGGTCTGTAATTCTTGTTCAACTGTCTGCTTTCCTTTTTTTAAATAGGTACTACATTTGATTTCTTCCAAGCAGATGGGTATACTCCAGTTTCTAAAAATTTTCGATATATCATGCAAAGAGGCTCGATAATAGCCTCATTGCATAATTTTACCATAGTTATTGAGATGCCGTCATCACCATGGGATTTTTGTGGTTCCAAGGACCGTAATAATCGTAGCAATTTGTCAGGATCAATGAACAGGCTCTCCAATGTTACATTACATTTAGGTGCAATAGGGGGAAGAGAACTTTATAAAATAATTATTTAAAATTGTAGCTTTTGTCTTAATGTTTGTTACAAAGAGTCCATTTTCTAATAAAGGAGGGATAGCTACAAAAGCTTTGACCAGTAGGTCTTTGTATCAACTTGGGAGCTAGATAGTTTCTGGCCTAATTTTGAATAATATTGTTCTTTTGCAGCCGTAATCATTTTAGAAGTTTCATTGCGAACAACTTTTACTTCATTCCAATCTTCAGGTTTCCTCCCACGCTTCAAATACTTACTATATACCCTGTGTTTTCTCTTAATCGCTGTTTTAATACATCGGGACAGCATAGAATGTAATTTGCTAGTAAAGAGATCTGTCATTTACTAGAAAATTACATACCACTGTTTGTACCTGGCAAGAAGAAATGTGTTTTCGTGAAATAACATTCACAAATATCTCTACATCTATCGCATATTTAATGTCAATGGTTTTGATGTTATTAGAGAAATTCACGAGTGACAGCTGCAAGATGAATTATTTAGAGAAACTCTACGTGAAGCCAGTCCTTTTAAACCAGTGTTGATCCTTTCTAGAAGCTTCTACAAGATTCTAACGTAACGATTTATCATTACTGAATTCTTATTGCTGCGCATGACACCAGGGCCCACGTAACAGGTGGGTCATGGCCTCCCCCATTTTTTCGCTAAATAAAAGATTCAATAAACTCAGATAATTTATAAAGATAAGCCTATAGAACACATTGAGCCAAAGTTCACAGGTAAAACAGTGAATCAAAGTTTTTGCCACAATGGGTGTTTGAGGGGCAAGAAGGAACCTCTTTACATTGATGGCCCCTCCAGTCTAGGATCAGTGGCGCGGGCCTTGTGGTGATACTCATTACCAAACATTTTGGATTGCTAAGTCAACTACTGAATGAATTTTCTCAACAGGTTATTTGTTATGAATTTACCGAAGACTTGCCTCTCTTACCTTTAATAAATCTTTTATACATTTCTGTGATAGATATGACGATAAACCGAGTTCTACAGCTAAATTTTATTAAATCAAGCATTGCATTTTTGACGAAATTGTCTTTTATCTATTTCACAGAATTTTTATGGCTAGTAAAGTAGCCTGATTCGGGGCTAGCAAGATAAAGGAGCTGCGCGAGCTAAACTTCCAAAAATCCGAAACTTTCTCCTAATGCAGGCAAATAGCAATAGAAAGATACACTGCACATGAAAATGTTTCCTGCATGTTTGATCTCCGTTCATTATGACAGGAAAGTCAGATTTTCTATGCCATCAACGGGTTTCAGATATGTATAACCTAATCACACGAAAGGCAAATTGCAGGCTAAGGAAATTGTACGCCAAGTGCCAATTAGAGAACAATTTCTAATTGAATTTGGTGATTTCTTTTAGCATTTGATGACGTCGTATTTTCTTACTGTTTCTGTCAGTACTAGAGTATCTTAAGTCCAGCCTTTTTTGTCTTTGTAAATATTCTATATAATAAAAAGGGGAGAAACTTGAAAACCTAACCAGGGACGAATTTAAGCGATAAGGATTGGGGTGTGTTAGATAATGATTGGATTTAGTGCCTCACCCTTCAAGTGTCATCTTTATGTAATCTTTACCCTTAATGTAAAAAGTCATCTTTAAAATTCAGTTTTTAATTTTCAGCTAAAGAAGATAAAAAAGGAACTCTTTGTGTCATTTTGTCACTACATCATCATCAGGTACCATCTCCTAGCAGAAGGTTGGCTACCATGACCCTCCAACTATCCCAAAATCTGAGTTTTTGTTTGTTGTCATGGTCATAGATAAAATTTGTCACTACTGACTACCAAAAAATGTTTTTTACCGACTAGAAGCAAAAGTTACCGAAGAACACAAAAATATTAAGGGGGAGGGGGGGAGGTGTGGCAACCCCACATCCTTGCCTGAACCTAACCGAATCTGGCCCAGGCCAACAAAGCTCATCATTTACTGCATAATTTGCAAGTTGTATATAAAGTCGCAGAAACTATTTTGAATTGTTTGTTAACCTAATCTAGAATGCAGCAAGATACCAAAACTTCTGCTTAATTTATATAATCGTGCATTTTGTATTCCTTTCAGAGATAAAGAGAAGGATCATGAACTCGAGCCATCCAAGTCAAGACGTTTTTCAGCTCAATGCCATCTTTACAACTGATGTTCGTGCGTTATTTGGCACTATCGGCCTAATTTTGGTAATAACAGGGCTGCTTGGCAACTCATTTGTCTGCCTCGTCGTCTTCAAAACCAAAGTAAAGAAGAACAGTACGAATATTCTAATAGCAAATCTTGCAATTGCAGACTTGATTCAGTGCCTCAATACTGGAACCATTGCAGCCACTGTAATTTCTGGCAAATGGTTGTTTGGCCATATTGGATGTCGCATATCAGCTTATGTTATGATGTGCACAGTGTTTGCAAGCCTTTACCTGCTAGGTCTGATCAGTATAAATCGTTTTTGCAATATCAAGTATCCTATGAATTACCACCAGCTATTTTCCATCAAGAGAACGTGGATTATGGTGCTTTTGACATGGGTAGCTGCTTTTATCGCCTCCTCACCTCCTTTATATGGTTTGGAGTTTGCTACGTATGAATTTCGACCAACCCGGTGCTTGTGCTCAATGGACTTTCACAAGAGTTCCCGCTTCTTTGTTTCTTACACAGTTATCTCAGCGCTGCCTGTCTTCTTAATAATTGTTTTGTACTTGCAAATATTCAAGATTGTTAGGCGTAGTCGACGGAAAGTGACATTCGATCTTAAATCTTCTTTTGGGCCGAGACAGTATGGCTGGAAACCCGAAACATCAACTTCACAAGTTTCTTTGAAAATCATTGGGAACGAGAGAGGAAAGGGACAGCTCTCTGACCTAACAGATAATAACAGCTCAAAAACTGCTTATGGAAATAGCGGTATGTTGATGATAACTATCATGCTTTTCGTTATTATTCTTATCTTTTTTGTTGTCTATACCCCAGCAATGGTGGTTAACGCGTTGGAGATGGTGAATCCGTGGAAAAAACCAAACGTATGGGTGGACATCTCTGTTACACTTCTGGCATTCTCAAATCACGCTATAAACCCTATTGTTTATGGCTTCATGAACACCCAATACAGAAAAGCATTCAAGCACTACTTTTTGTTCTGCTGAAGTTCTACACAGAACAAGTCATTCATCAAACCACCAGTTTATACTTCATGAACGGATTGAAAAGGTTCAAATAGTAGACTGTGTACAGCTAGAATCAACCTGTTAATACATACATTTTTAGCGTATATATAGATGTTAGTATCAACAGATCCTCCAGTACAAATCTGCTGCCCCTGGCCTTTGAACTTTAAGATATATCCATCGCTTTATGCTAAACGGATATATCAACATCGTCACTCTATACTCTGCATTCTGACTCCGAATTTTCCAAGAATTGAAAACAAAAGACAAACGTCATTTTCAATCCCACCCAATAATAAGAAGTAACATCATGTTTAGTTCTTTGCTGTGGAGACATAGAGCAGTGGTTTAACTTTTAGTCGCTAATTCAACACCAAAATTTTGCCACAAAAGAGGTGTTCAATGTGGCCGTATCCAAAAATTCAAGATTTTTACAAATTCAATATCTATTTAGCTAAATACTCGTCGTCCAGTTTACTCGTCGTCGTACAATCGATTTAGCTAAATACTCTCTTACTTTCAAAGCATTAGGTTCAGCTAACAATTTAGGCCCTGTTTACACCGCTTTCATTTCGTATCGGATCACTCTTCTTATCGGATAGGCGGTAGTACAGCGAAACCGGGGCAGGTCCCCTATGATATTATTTATACAAGGTTCAGGTAGATGTTGGGCTAGACCATAAACATCGTGTTAAATGTATCACTTAGCGTCATTGGTAACTGTTAAAAACTTGTGTATAAAGGCAACGCGTTGTAACATGTATAGTATACATTAACAAATGCATGAAAGGCATATGAAGCTCATATTTTATAGTTTCCTTCTGAAGTAAGCCTGATGAGACCTGTTATTCATCCATGTTCCAATAAAAACTTGACTACATATTCAGATTCTGCGCGAATTAAAATGTGGTATTAAAGGGATAAATAGCTTCAAAGGGCAAAATCCTCCATGTTTTTAGGCTTTTTAGACTTAATCAGAAATTTCAAAATGGACATCGCAAATCAGTTTTTGCCAAATTTGATTAAAACCTGAATTCCTGTGGCTTCTAGGGGGTTCTAAATTCTTTGAAAAACATTTTATCATAAATTGTAATGAGCAAGGCATGATATTTTTCGCAATGTCATCGAATCCATAATCTTCATGCGCGTATTCAATACAAACATGACATCTCTCCATTAGACATTCCTACATTCCTTCTTGACAAATGATTTGAAGACAGTTTAGCTTCATTGAAAGATCAGAATTGCCATGAGAAGATCATACCCATTTGATGAAGTAGTTGGTCTTTGGAACGTTTCAGATCATCTCCATAAATGCTGTTTTCAATTATGGGGTTTGCTTTCAATCATGGGAAGCCTGATATCAATATGACTTTCTATGCAAAATGTTGCTTAGTTGCAGGCCATCATAAAATATTTCGGAAACGCAACATGTAGCCAAATCACGGGAGCAAACTAAGATCTTGCAGCCTTGAAGGTGTTTCAAGCTTAACAAGGGGAAAACATGAAGGTTAGTCATGAGTAATGTCGGACACCTCCAATTACTTTGCCAATCTGTCAATACCACTATTTCTTTTCGATAAAATTGTTTGTTCTTAGGAAATCATATCTATAACGGGATTCTAACCGATCTCGTATTATTAATTGTTATCTTGCACAGAACATTATTAAACTGGAAAACTGCCTTCTCTTGCCGGGAAAAGGGCTAATTTATTCCATCAGTATGGGTTTTATCGAAATTCATACGCCAAGAGGTTTAAATAAAAAACAATGAGGCTATTAGAAAATTCATTTTCCGTGACGGACCGACAAACGATAGTTTCATAAGGTCTCAAAAATTAACCGTTAATTGTAGAATTTTCTCCTTTTGTGTCATGAAAGAACTCACAAGGAGGCAGTGTGACTAGCATAATATAATGCTTTCAGCATAAAAGTGACCAAAAATTGTCATTTAGCATAAATTCTAGCATAATTTGGAATCTAGCATAACTCTGGCATAATTTTGATAGTTTTTGAAAAATCGCTGTTTTCATTGATCTGTTGTCTATCACCACCGAATGGAAACACTTTACACAAGAATGTGTGACTTTCCATTTTCAGGGTTTAGCCAGGTGTTTGGAACGGTTGGCAGCCAAATATTTTATGGTTGGCAGCCAAATATTTTATGGTTGGCAGCCAAATTCAGCCAGCTAAATTCAGTACACAAAAAAGCTAAATTTTTGAAAATTGCGGGGAGTGATTGTGTAATCAAAATTTGCTTTGTAGGTTACAAAGCTTTCATTTATTTTCATCTTACATTGTCTGTTATCTTTTACGTTGTTTCGTGTTTTATTATTTGCAATTTTGAAATCATTCTGAAACAAATTTGAATATCATCTATGTAAAAAATTTATTTTCCTTTGCATTTTTTGTGATTTTTTGCAACATGCTGCCAGAATTCTGCCAACTTTTGCTTCTTCGGCCAAATCAATTTATGACGGACAAGGGGTTAAGAAATTTGGATGTCAAAACTATTAATCTAAATTGCCTTTTTGTGTAGAAAAGATGGCAATTTTGAGTACACTGTGTTTTAGATTGGAGGTCAAAAATAGCCAAATGGAAACTCTGATCACTTTTGATATTCTGAGCATCCTCTAGCCTCTTTTACAAGCAGGGGTGCCTTGATTCGAAATTTAGCATAATTTTTGCAAATCTAGCAATATTTTATGACAAATTTGGCATAATACCAAAATCGAGATCTGGTCACACTGTAAGGAGGCGTAGATTAGCTGAAGCAATTCTATACATCGTCTTAAAAGGATACAAATGTCTGTCGTGACGGACGGACGGACGGACGGGATAGAAAAAACTGAAAAGATTAATTTCACGTGTTCAAGTATTATATCTAAGCCAACGAGATAAATTTGAAATATTTTTAACAATTGAATATCAGTTTGAAACATCATCAAACATGTTGAACAACTATATTTCTCAACATTTGGAAATTTTAATGCCAAAAGTTCCAATGGATAATCGTGACTGACGGACGTGACGGACGGACAGAAAAGTGTCATTTGAGATTGTTAAAATCACATCATTTGTTATCAACAGTTAGTAGAGGTGAATAATGGTTGATGTCAACTGTTTATTTGGTAGGTCAAACCCCATGTGCGTAGTTATTGGACAAGTTTCGAGTTGTCTGTCTGTCATAAAATTTTCAGAAGTTTTTTCCTCCCTACAAAAAGCAACAAAAAGTTGTTATTTTAATCTATCTATGATGTGGTACATCTATATCACTACTTATGTCGATAATACAAGCAGAAGTGCCGATTTTTTGTTGTCAGGGAACTTAGGATTGTCCATCCGTCGCAAAATTTTCAGAAATTTTTCCCTCCCTACAAATAGCAACAAAAAGTTATTATTCAAAGCTATAAAAGCTATAAAGTAGGTGCACGGAATCAAGACCTTTGACAAACCAAGATAGATGTAGCGAAGATAGGAATTTTCAACAGCAAGATCTTCCATTCCAGCATAAATAGCAAGATCGTTCGGAAAGGCGAAATTCCCCTCTCAGTCCGTCTCCTTCGCAGAAATCCACTGGAAGAAAACAAATACTCCTCTCTCTCAAGCACAAAATAGACTTGGAGCAACCAGACTTTATTGGGCGCCACACATTGGGCACCATACGTCTGAAAGCGTACGTTGGGCGCCACACGGCTATCATCTATAAAGATGTCTGTTTGAGAAGCCAATACTAGAAGCGCTTAAAGTATTGCGATTGTGCGACTGTTGACCAAGCGAAAGTTATTGCTTAGGAAAAGTTTTTTGTCAACATCGACCAAAAGTGTCTGTTGTCGTTTTTCTAAGAAATTTTTTTTGCTGCAAAGAATCTGTTGATTTATTGTGAGCCTGCCAGGTGGCTATTGAGTTGAATCGAGCTGCCAACATTTGGAACGCAGCCATTGTATTTTTGTGCAAGGATTAAACATCCAAAATGAGACATTGCAATGATACAAAAAGTGTTTTACTGAATTGTTGCAAATAATAGACAAATAATAGGAATATAGGGAAATGAGTTAGTAAATAGATCGAATAAAATCAACTATTCTCTTTTTATTACAGATTCTGTTATTTAAGATATTGAAAAAGCCGTAAAAGAATGTTCATCTTGGAAATAAGTAGGGGGCTCAGGACTTAAAATAAGCGTAGATCTGACTTATTTTGTGGAGTTGTTAATAAAAATGTGGAACTGTCATTTTTTTCAATGCGAAGTAAATGCCTAATCCCAGCCTCATGTACTGCACTCATTTTTTATAAGAAAATTGCTATAATAAATGAACAATGGATAATACATAAGAATTAAACTCGAAGCTTCAGTACATGTGGAGGAAAATCAATTGCACTTTATGAGATTGTTATGCTGTTTTGGGGTATATGTGATATCTTTCCGTAGATTTTAGAAAAAGTTGCAAAGCAATTCAGCTAAGGTGTTTTAAATTGGAAAAGCATCGAAAAGAGTTCTCTCAAGGCTACAGCAGCTGAATGATAAGAGACCTTTCGGTGGTTAGCTGGGAAGAACATTTAAGCTACGTTCACACTACTTCGTGTTCATCTCACTCTGTATTCGTTGATGAAAACGATGTCCGTTCACACTAATCCGTTTTCATATGAATATGCTGTGAATAAGATAGATGTTCACACTACTCCAACAAAAACGCTGTTGGTGGCCTTAATTTTGGAAAGAGGCGTTCACGACTCCTCAACAAATTGGCGTCATTATAATATAAATGAAATTAAATAAAAGTAAATCTTGAAAAACTTTCAAAATTTTTTAGATTTGGTGTGCTACAAAGCATGTAATTTGTTGCCGATGTTAGCGTATCCAAATGTCTCCGTTTTTGGTGTTCACACTGAAAACGGAGCGTATTCAATACGACCCTAGTCTAAAGTATCCGTTTTCATTAGCGTTTTCAAACGACTCCGTTTTCACTTTTCATAGCAGAGTAGTGTGAACGCAAGGCAAAAACAGATAAATTTGACTCCGTTTTCATCTAGGGACTATACTATAGCCCTCCAAACTTTTTTGCAATAATAAGTCAGAAAATGTTTTGAAAGTTTACCCTAATGAACCCATTAGTAGCAAATCGTTTGTTCATTTTATTGGTATTTTATCTTGTTCGATCAAAGATAAATTCGTATTTCATGTAACGCAGCTTTGTAACTTGAATCTTCTCTGAATCGTTGTGTTTATGTTGTGTGAAAGCAGCATAGCTCCAGAAACACAAATGTATGCATATTGCAATAAATATGATTGATCTAGTAAGTTTCGAGTTCACAAACAGCTGCAAAGATATGACTCTAAAAAACACCGAAGTATGGGAAGCAAGATTGATTCAAGGGGGTTTTTGAAGGTGAAAGTAAAGAAAAAGTAACTTTGACAAAGATCCGAACAAGCCATGTAAAAGGTTTCCTTTCGATTACTTTTTGCTGACAAGTTAAGACATCACTATATTTTGCTAATTTTCTTAAAAACTCAATCCACAAATTATAAAGAATTAGTATTTGTTACTTATACTCAATTCATTTAGGATTTTGCCCAATAAGAACATGCTATTTGCACTATGGTGGCAGTTTCTATTTTTGCCACGCCCATTTAGCCAATCCAAGCAAAGTAGAACGCTTCATTTTCCTAAAAAATGTGGATCTGTAAAAATTTCTTATTTTAGGCCCTGGGGTGGGGGGCTTCAACCCCCAGCCCCCTCGGTGGTGTTGTGCTTGTTTTGTCGTACTTGTAGGATTCCTGCTGCTAGCTAGTTGGATTTGTTGTTAGTGCTGTATAAATAAGAATTTTAACATAGCACGATTGCCATATTTCGAAGAATTTTTACCAATTCAGACTTATGCCTTCTTGTAAAAGCGTGGGCAAAAAGTTCATCGTATGTTGTAAGCCATAAGTTTTAACAGTTCTGATTGGTCTCGTGAAAAGAAGCTTTCATAGAATGCGCGTTAAGATGAAAGCTGCCCCTAAATCATTGTCAAGTTTACAATTTTCTGATAGAATTTAGGATGCCGTTTTTGCCCTTTTCTACTTTAGTTTTCTTTACTTAAGGTTAGTTTCGATAATACACAACGCCTTAGTTTAGCTTGCGATGTTTGTCTTTCCCGACAAATGAGCAAGATTTTATCTTTCCCGAATCAGCAACAGTTAAAATTAAAGAAATTTGCCAAAGAAGGACCAGGCGAGTATAAAGAACTTGATGCTACAAATGACATAATTTCCGTCCTTATGCTACCATTTGAGGGTTATTGTCAAAAAAGACTACCTTTTGCTGGCAATTTTTAGCATTTTAGCTTCTATGACCCTGACTGGACAACCCTGTTAGGCCATAATGGGAGTACCCCCGCCGGGCTTCTCCCCCCATGATGCGTTGAGGATGTGACCGCAGCCCATTTAAGGCGTAACCTTATAACTATATTTTCAATGGATAGCAAGGTATGACATAATTGATATTCTGGTAGGATTTAGGATTCCGTCTTTGCCCTTTTTTTACTTTTTGTGAACTAGTTTAGCACTCTTTGAATTAGTTTATTGTGCTTCAGATTACTGTGTACCGTAATCAGAACGTTAAAAACATTTTTGATTCAGTGTAATTACCCAAACAGTGGAGCGTAGGAGAAATAATCTCAAATATTTGACATTGTTGCGGAACAGCTAGATCCCACTACAGATAAAACTTTTTGACAAAAATATGCAATGTTTCGAGACATAATGAATGATCGACTGATAAGATAAAGTGACGGAAAACACTCGGAATATTTTATCAGATGGCAGATGTCATTTTCATTTCATTTTAACATATTTATACACAGAAACCCTATCAGCTACTAAGTTAAAAAAGAAAAAATAAATATTAATTTATATATAATGCTGGTCTTTCTAGGGATCGCGCTTCGGGAAAGGATGTTAATTTTGCAGGTATTCCTTAAATTTCTTTTTGAACGTGGTAATCGTGGAGCTCATTCTTATCTGTAATGGAATTTGCACCACAATAGAAAAAAACTCCTTTTGGAGAATTCTAGGATTTGCCTTGGGATGTCTAGGTGAAGGCAATTTCTTATTGAATAGTTAGATATTTGGGATCTTGTGACAAGTCTTCCTTTCAAATTGTCAGGGCAGAGACCATTTATTATTTTGTAGATCATTACTGTCCTGTCAAATTTAATCAAATTTGAGACCGAAAGCCAATTGCAGCTCCACCCGTCCTCTAATCTATTAGCGTGCGCGCTCTGTTTTGTAAACGCTGAAGATGATCGAGCTTTGTGTTTGACAATTTGCCCCATAGCTCATCACTGTATCTCAAATGGCTCTCGAGCAGCGCCTTATAGACCCGATCCAGTTTCGATTGCAGGAGTATGTTCTTTAGTTTCCACAGGGACGAGAGTGCATTCTTTATTTTACCTTTAAGGTTTTTATATTGCTCATTCCATGTCAGGTTTTCGTCGACCGTAATTCCTAGGTATTTTACCCTTTGAGCTCGTTTGATTGGCTCTCCATTTACATTTACTTCTAGTGGGCCAAGGATACAGTTGGTTTGTCGTTTATGACCAATAACAATATATTCTGTTTTTTCAGTATTCAAACTAAGCTTATTCTGACGTAACCATTCTGCAATATTGTCGATCTCAGCTTTTAGATCATTACAGAGATCGTAGATATCTTCGGCAGAACAGGTGACACTGGTATCGTCCGCATACATGTTAGATGGAGGAAACGTTAGGTGAGTTTCCTAAAGGCTTTTGACATGTTTATATTTTAATGTTGGCTCAAAAAAACTGTATACCATGCAGTGGTGGTGCCAGCAACTATAGAGTGGAAGGTTTATGGGCGTGACCAGTGAGACCATGCCCCTTTTGCCTCGTTTCCAAAAAGCGTATTTTCTTGGGTACTTGCATGAAAAGTGTCAGTGTCTCTTATGTGTTACTCCCTTTAATACAGTTCCCATTTAGGCTAGCAAACAGTAAATAAGTTTATCTTAGTAAATTATGGCATTGCCTCCGTTGACTCCCGCTGTAGGGCCATCGTTATTGACATATTAGTACGTGATTTTACATCAAAGCGGGGTACCCACCCAATTTTTTGTTTTTTTTCTGCCCCGTTGAAAGTTCTGTACCATGTTTGTTACTCATTAAATACAGCCAATGAAAACTTACCTGAGTATCTTAGAAGTCTGTCGAAATTTGTTTAGAAGTTGTCTCAGGGTTATCAATTGATCCTGGTGATTCATGTAAAGATTAGGACCTAATAGTTTATTAATAAAACTTTGAAGCTGCTGGCAAAGTTTTTGAGAACATTTGTACGATATTTTTATAAGAAAAACTGAGCAATGTAATTTCCAAAACATTTTTTACTGCAAATTTTGATAAGCCCTTCTTACTTTTGAGCCCCCCTCTGCGGAATTTGTGGAACGAGGTTATTGATAAAACACGTGTCAAAGGTCAATGGTTGATGCAATAGCCTGTGGTCCATTGCGATACGGAGGTTCAATTTATGACCGCGAAGGTCCTGTAGACAGATAGCTTGGAAAAGAAATGTTCTCCAGGACAAGATATGCGTTGAGAAAGGTATTTTTGCTCCGAACAATTAATCAAATTTTTCATTAAGTAATCATCCACAACTTTTAAAAAGTATTTAAGGCTCTTTTTTGAGTTCTTTGTAGAAAATTTTCGCCGTAAGCGACAAAAGAGTGGATTAGGCCCATTTGAAGCGGGCTGTAGAAGAAAGTCATTATTTTAATTGGTAGATTAACTCTGCGTTTTTACCAGCTATAGGAATTTTTCGAATATTCAGTTCAGTTCATTTAATTTCAAAATTACACAAAATACAATTTAATAGCATGAATATTGAAACTATTGTAGATGACATTGGATGAAAAAGAAGATTAACTCGTTTGTTTTGACTATAAACCTGTTTTGGTTGTTTGTTATATAACCGTACATTGCTTTCTGTACTTGTACAACTACACTGGCAGTGGGAGAACCTTACAAAACGAAATTAGTTGCTAGTTGTTAGTATTCAAGTTTTTCTCAACGTGTTCTACAAAAAACAGAGCATTTTATTTACGAAAAGTCAAACCTGTTTCCGCGCTGCCCTGAGGTGAAAGTTTAAGTCTAAGGTATCTTGCCATGGGCCGTTTGATTAAGGATAGGGAATAACGACAAAGGAGAGGAAATAATGAAAGTTTCTATGCATTTATAGCCTATTTTGCAGCCAGTAGCTAGGAGTTTACCTTTTTTTAAATCTTGTGTTGATGATAAATTGTGTTTAAAAGACCTTACAACTACGAGTCTTTTCAACCAGTTCAATTTTTCATGACAAACTTCAACAACTTTTGATACTGCAGGATGCTGGGAATTTATAATCCATTTGTGGCGAAACCCTCTTTTACTTTTCACAGCTTTGCAAACAAAGTGGTACTTTTCATGCCAGAGATTGGATTGATGCTCTTGTTCACTCCTTTCTTTCACCTTACAATAGTCTTGTGTAGGGTGTCAAGTGTAAATTGATAGCCCATCTTATCTTTATCTTATAGCTTTGTAAAATACCTGGTGTTTGTGTTTCCAACCCAATATCTTTGCTGAAACAATGCAGTCAGAGATGTGTCTGGACAGGCAACGAAACTCTTCAAGAAGATGACCCTGAAATGTATGAACTGATAAAACTGGAAAAAAGAAGACAAGTTGAAGGACTTGAGCTTATTGCTTCAGAGGTTTTATATTTTATAAATTAATGCTAATATATAATATATATATATATTAATTGTTAATAATGGTGTGGAAAATATTATTTGAATTTGTCTGTTAAGCCACCTTCTCTGGCTCTCCATGGAACTCTCTTAAACTAAGCAACCTTATGTGTAATGCTTGTTTCTATACCTACGGTGTTGAGTATCTATATTTCAAGCTGGTCCGTTTTGAAGTAATTTTGCCTTGTAGCCTGTGATCATTTGGATGGAAATGGCTAAAGGCCTGGTTTCATGGAACAGCCTGATCCATGGCTAGTAGTTTTACCAAATGAAATATTCTGTATCTCAATTCTAACTTTCACTGATATACATTTTATACAGATGTTGACATACAATCAACGTTTTATTTTGTAGAATTTTTGTAGTAGAGCAGCTTTAGAAACACTTGGAACATGTTTGAATAATAAATACTCTGAAGGTTATCCTGGAGCTAGGTATGTTTCAGTTCCTTTTTTATTCTAGTTGATTTTGTCATTCTATACCACAGAATGATTTAATATTTCCCTTTCTGTCAAATGTTAAAAGAAACTAATTTATCGTGTTGGTTTTATTGATAAACACATATTTTATTTTTGCTCAAGTGAAACTTTGTTCTATTAAATTGCTTAAGAAACATATTCAAAGGTTTTTTATAAAAGGTCACTCGGCGTGATAGATCACTAATTTTCATATAAGGTCAGTTGTCTCATCACAAGTTAACATAAAGATGTCCAACTTTAATTTCAAATGTATGTCAACTTAGATGTTGAGGGTATTTGTTGTGAACTTGACCTTTTTTCAATACTTTTGAACTTCATTTAGCGTTATCAATTCAAATTTGTCCATGAATATATTTATAGTCCCATACTTATTGCAGACAGGTTCCCCTTGAAAATCAGTGCTCTACCTTAAGGTATTTCATCCAAAATAAAGAGAACCAAAAAGCTGATAACTTAATCACTGTTTGGTTCAAAACAAAATATGAATAAAGTTTGGATACATTCTCTCATATGAAAAAATATTTTTGATTTATGTGCATCCTTTTTGCAGATATTATGGGGGAAATGAATACATTGATCAAATAGAGCTTCTTGTGCAAAAAAGAGCTTTGGATGCATACAGATTGGATCCTGCACAATGGGGAGTCAATGTACAGGTTTTCTCAGGTACTTAGGCCATATTTTGTCAAACTCTTTTTGGGATGTTTGTCTTCATGTTTTGAGGATGTTCAATTTTCCAAAAAAATATGAAAAGATCATCGAGTGTCATAACTTGGGTGAAAGAACATTCCAACAAATTAAGGTCTGTTTTTTGCTGAAATCTGTCACAATATGGTCTGATTTGATAAACCTAGATTTTTTGCTTCAGTATTCTAAATCCATACTTAATTTCTTTTCCAGGTGCTCCTGCTAATTTTGCAATCTACACTGCATTACTGAACCCTCATGATCGGATAATGGGGCTAGACCTTCCTCATGGTGGACAGTGAGTAGCCTTCTTTTGATAGAATAATAGTGCCTTTAAATGTTATGTTAGATTTCATGTGTTGTAAAAAGTTTGTTAAATCCAGTTTTACAAGTTTTAGTTGTTTTTTATTGAATTATAAAGGCTAGAAAATGGTGGCCATTTGTTAACAATTTTCATCCTATGCATGCCCCTCCCCCCAAAAAATGTGTAATACTCCTCTCCAGCTTCACTCAGTTCTAGGCTAAATCAAGGCTTTTTAACACCTGAATCCTCTTCAATAAAATATTGAGTTTTAAAGGAGGTCAGATCTCACTGGATCGTGCTTGGCTTTTGAGAAGCCAAAATTCTTTAAAATTTTAGTTTGGCACAGCTGCTTGAAATGCTACATTGTACTTGAATGTTTGAAACCACAGATTCTTTATCAGGACAAGCAATAGCAAATGCAACAAGAAAGTTGTGCTTTATGGGGCTCAGGATAATTGAGGAAGAAAATGCAAATGATTGGGTTAATGTTAACTATCTTTGAAGAAAACAGTATTTGACTCTGTTGCCCTTAATGGATTTAGGACAAAGCTTTGTTGCTTTCAAGCGACATTCACTAGTGACATTGCACTGTGGACATTCATCTAGTTTTCTTTCAATGTTAGAGTCCAGAGAAGAGAAGACTGAAAAAATTGACATTGTTCTCTAGTGCTGCTGTTACATTCATACAGGGATTAAACACCTGCAGCCTGCAGATCAAATCTGATATGGGAGTAGGTTTTTAGCTGCCCTTCATCCTTAAAAGTTGGTACTCTGATGTGAACACCCTTTCATGTTGGCCCAGTCCCTTTTTGTTCACCATAGTTGCTAGGATACCAAAGATGACAAAGCTGTTTCTAAGTAAAGAAGGCTTACCATCCTTGCATTGAATGATACGCAGTTTGTCACTAACAAGGCTTACTATCCCTGCATTGCATGATACCTAGTTTGTCACTAATCCACGCCTCAGCCCAGTGGCTGGCGAAATTGCGATGTTCAATGACGACTGTCAACAAATACAGGCACTGTTGAATCCTGTAAGTTATAACCTGGACAACTCAGAATTTCAATAAGTTAGACTTTTCTTGATTTGAACTGATTTTCATTTCCTATTGGATTTTGTTAGCTTACACTTGGCCGGTTGCCAATGAAAGAGCGCAGAGATTGGTATCTACTGAAACTTTCTCATAAGTACGTTCGTGATGACTGAAAGCCAAAATATATTGACATATCACTGCAAGAAAATGCCAGAAACTTAAGATCTAGTTGTGTGCCTTTTATTGCGTCATCACCTGCTTCTAACATTCAGGAACGATGCAGCAGATCCCTTTAATAGACTGCCAGCAGAAATCAGAACAGCTAAGACTACAAGCGAATTTTCGAAGCAAACGCATAATATTATATATTCAGATTCAAGAAAAAGACTGCTAGTACAACTTTAGTTTGAAAGGAATTTTTTTATTTCTTTTCTTAATTAATTACCTTTTATATTGTAAATAATTCTGATTTTTAAACAAATAATGTAGTTTTTAGCAACCAGGTGAAGAGCTACTCTGTGGAGAAACTGGTCTTGATTTTATTGTTATTATTATTATTTTTATTACTGCTATTATTATTATTATTATCATTATTATTATTATTATTATTATTTTTATTATTACTCAATTCAAAAGTTGTACCCTGAATAAGCTAGACATCAACTAACTCTAAGCCATCTCCTTACCTTTCTTAAAGGGCCAACTTTTCAGGATTCACATTTTTTATTCATTTTTATAAGGCCTTTTGCTAGTAATCTGCTTTTTGCAACAATTTTGTTTCGAGTGGACTTTTTATTGTAATTACAAGAGTGTGAGTTTTAGATTGCGTGGAGTTAAATTGTCAAGACTTGAAAAGTTTATACTGCGTCTTCTTCATCAGTTGCTTGAATTTGTTTAAGCTTGTCTCATGGATACATGACGGACACAAAGCGAGTATCAGCAACGTCTAAATATTTTGAGTCAATGCCATATCGACTGGACGTAAGTTATTCATATCGATATTATTATTTCATTGTCAAGTATCGCCGTGTTTTACCAAGTAAAAATTAACTGCAAACACAGACTTACAATGAAAGTTCTCATTTTTGTCAATAAGTGGCTCCCGGTAACAAACACCTCGTAAAAAAGACACGCACCATAGACAACTTGTTTAATTTTAAAAAGTATGGATTTCACTCGATTTTTATTGAACGAATGCACATTCATAAGTTCTAGGCACTTAACTTTTTAGTTCCATTCTTGCCAAAACAAAATATTGTATCCAACTTCAAACAAAAGTTCTTCAACTTCTATTGCCGTTCATCCGCTTGAATCATTTTTTGTCTGCACCGGGATAAAAATTTTGTTTAACTTTTTGTCCCTTGCCCAGAAGACCGAACGCCTAAAGGGTTAAGAGTTAAGTTACTACACCAAGACCATTCTTGCTTTCAATGTTGCTTTAAGACTGTTTTGAAAGGCTAGAGAAAAGATTAATACCCTTTTGGGTTCTGTATTTGGCCGTTTTCTGAAGTTTCATACTTTTAAGTATCAGATAAGAAGTAATTTTTCGAGACCCGCAAAGTTTCCGCTTTTGTATCATCTTGAATTTCTGTCCTGCAAAGGGTGCTTAAGAAATTTCTTTAGAAGTTGGCAGGTAAATAAGCATTTCGATACTATAATGAACGGCCCTTTCTGCTAATTAAAGCCAAATAACTGAGGAGAGTTCATTAAGTTAGCAGAAAAATCGGATCATGATGTTCTTTAAATTGGAGATATAGCCGTTAGACTGTGATCCCTGAAAATTTTCTTCTGTTAAAAACACTAGCTTTCTCTAACTCCATAATGTTTTTATTTAAGGTTTGATGTAAGATAATGATGTAAGTGTTTTCCCTTTTTTTTGCATCCTTGACATGCCATCGGATAATTGCCACGTAGGCTAGTAGCGCTAATAGCAATCTTTGAAAAGTACTGATCTGGTTTTCCTGATCTTAATACCAAAGGGCACCATAGTGTCATTCCTATGTTAGACATAAAATTTGCCACCATGATATGATCACTAAAAATTTGTTTACCGAATGCTAAACATAAACTCAAGTAGAGTGTCGTTTTTGTAATGATGTTCCATTTACAATCATTTTCAGGATAATCAGCAGATTAAGATTCAAAATAATGCAACCAAGAAGGTATTTTGTATCCCGAATTCTAAGATTTAATATATGGTTTATTATTTTCAAAACCCTCTCTACATTTTAGGAAGAAACTGGAATCATAGATTACGACAAATGTGAGGAACTTGCAACTCTGTTTAGGCCGAAGATATTAATTGCAGGCACTAGTGCATATTCAAGATTAATTGACTATCAAAGGATGAAAGAGGTTCTTATAATTTTTCTAACGTTGCTTGCTATGTCAGTTAATTTTATTTGTTTATCGTTGTTATCTGCTAACTTAGGCCTGAACCAGTTACATCTAAAGTAGCAGATATTGATTTGCCTCTAGTTTTACTTGAAATAATCACAGAAGGCATCCACAGATATGCTGTATTGACTTGAAATGTTCAAACAATAATCTATCTAAAGCTATCTCGCTGCGGAGGATTGCGTGGAACCTGAACAACTTCTTCACTCCTTGTCAATGAGTGGCAGTGTGTTGGTACTTCCTTTACAGAAGTCTCTTATTGAACATCACGTCTCGTATTGACAATACAAAATGACAGGCTCGTCTTATATCTGTAGTTAAGTCTTGGATTTTTAGCATGCAATGGTGTATCATTTGTTGTTTAGATTGCTACAAAAGTAAATGCTTACCTTTTGGCTGACATGGCTCACATCAGTGGATTAGTTGCTGCAGGGGTACGTTTAACTATTTTGTCACTTTAAAGCCCTTTTTTGTCACTTTGACTCTTACACAGTCAAACTTTGTCAGATTCGACACATCCAGCTCAACTGAATTTCACCGTGTATGAGGTATAATCAAAAGTCGAAAGCCCTCTTCAGAATAAATTCGAATTAACTTTTTAGGAATAGAATTTGTTCAATTCCTTTCATCTAAATCTGCAATTTTCATTTGCAGAAAAATTCTGCTTACGGTTGTGAGTTTTGAAGCTTTGTTTGTTGCTACTACAAGAAAGGAGAAATTGAATTAAAAGGAACATTGATATTAAGAAATTGCAAAAAGATGTTTCAAAAGGAAGTGCAATAAAATTAATTCGTTGAAATGCATTGCTTTTTCAGGGCAAAGAAGCCAAATAAAGATACTTATAGTGCCCCTCAATTTGAATTTAAGCAATTGTTATCCTACACAAATCTATTAAATACAATACCTTTGCAAGTTAGAATTCGTAAAAACGTTTCGCCAAAACTTTTTAGGTCATTCCAAGTCCCTTTGATTATGCTGACGTGGTTTCAACAACGACTCACAAAAGTCTACGTGCTGTTAGGTAAGTGACTACATTGCATTTGACGTTTTGAAGAAATTTTATTACCCTTGTCTTACCTTTGTTCTAACCCCTTTAGGCTCAATATTTGCTGAAACCCTCGAATGGTCCTCTACTTACGACGAATTGATAAATTGTTTAAAGATTGATGAAGATGTAAGATAAGTTTAAGAAAGGGTTAAAATGTTTCGACTTTTTTATGTTTCGCTACCCTCTTGTAAAGTGATGGATCTTCATTTATAAAGTATCTGGATTGTCACATAGAGAGGTAATAATAAAAGAGCGAATGTCACTGTGCTGAGCTGAACGCAAGGTGGAAATTAGTGTGGACCGGTTAAAAAAGAAGGGACCCTGAATATAGGATTCACCGCATGCTATTTTTTGTCATACTTATTCTATGCAGCAACCTTCATAGATTTTGATGACAAGTTTTCCTGTTTTTTCTTTTTGCGAATGAATTTAATGTATCTTAAACATTTCTATGGCATAATCTTTGTCGTTATTTGGGCCAAAACAAGCATTCCTAATTCCAAGACAATAACCAAGAGAGGTGACGAAAATGAAATCCCAGTGTATTTTTTGCATTGTTTTGAACAAGGTGATAGCTTACAAACATTCTTAGCATGTATGTATAGAAACAGACTTTGGTAGCCAACATAAGATTGCATATTTTAGGTTAGATACGTATTTTGTGTTCTCCTTAAAGTTTTCAGCTCTTGAGTGATGTCCACTTCTTTCCTAGGCATTCGCTTATATTCTTCAGAAGGGGTTTAAGAAGCGTGAATAAAAAAGGAAAAGGTAAGTTTTTTACTGTTGAGGGCTGTCTGGTACGAAAAGTACCTGATTATGCTAAATTTCCGCTTTTCCGTGCTGTCTTAAGCTAGAACTTAAACTTTTGTTTAAAAGAACAACTTATACTTATACTCATACTTAAACTGACATGCATAAGTACAGTGAATCCAAAAAAGCTCAGGCCAAATTGATCAGAGCACGCGCACAAGAAAGGAATCGGAAACTGCTCACGTGAAACCACTGCGCGCTGCTCTAGGATTTCACCGATTTGCAGAAAGGCGGCAACTGTTCACATGTTTTTCTGTGCGCAATTTGATTGGTTAACCGCTTGTGGTTGAGTGCCTTAAAAACTTCAAATAATGCAAAGAAGAATTGATATGCAGGGATTCTCTTAACAGAGGACTCTTCCCAGTGGGAAAGCCTGAATGCATAAGTTTCTGTATCTAAGTTGCTTATTTTAATTTTAGAAATCATGTATGATTTGGAAAATAAAATCAACAGTGCTGTCTTTCCTGGGTTACAAGGTGGACCCCACAATCATTCAATGGCTGCTGTTGGAGTGGGACTGAAGCAGGTGAAAGTAGATCTCTATCATTTTACTCTACTAATCTTGTGAGTGTGTGGCACCTCTTGCCATACAGCTGAATTTTTGACATAGGCAGGCCATACTATTCAACTAAACCTTTTTTGTCGTCAAGCTTCGCTTAAGGTCATAGACTTTGAAGCATTATTTGTCGCTACAAAATTCGTTGTTTGATAGCATCAAGGACCTTAAAAGGAGAGCGGATATCGAAAGATTGCAACAGCAAGAAATTGAAAAGGAGTCCGAGAACAGTGAATGTGGTTTTGTTGCGAAACAGCCTTGGGAAGATTTATCAGGGCTAGAATAGTATTCGATATGTTGACATTTTTGACTGCTGATTACTTTAGCAAAGTTCGGCCGTAAGTTATCCCCAGGTTCCTAACAATCTCCCGATTGATTGATTCATCTTGTTTTCAACATAGATCTTCTTTATTTACCCTATATTCATACTTGGACCAACTAAGTAGTATGTCCGCTACATTTGCTGGAGATTTTTCGTAGACTTGATCATAGACACTTTTGAAAATTAAAATGGGAACTATTTTGAAAGGGAATACGTACGAGAAAAAAGCGCAGCTTGCTTGTTATTTAAAGTTGCAATTTATTTGTAGACAATGTCTCCTGATTTTGTTGAATACCAACGACAAGTTTTAAAGAATGCAAAAGTGATGGCAAATACCTTGGTAGAAAGAGGGTATAAAATCGTTTCTGGTAAGTTCTAAACAGTTTGTCTTTGTCTTTTGAGCGCGAGTTTGCTTGCGTGAGATTTCTTATCTTTTTGTTACAGCCTAGTAGTAATAATAATAACATAACTAATATTTAACAAATTGACTTGTTTAGATGTAATACAATCTGCTATCATTCAAGGGCCTCCTTGTATTCATGAAACGTTTTTTGATTGAAAATGAATCACCTCTCCAACCCGAATTCAGTTCAGCACTTTATTCCGTATTTGTGTATTATATGTGTATTTCACTGCATAATGGCTCTCTCTTTCAAGAAACTGCCCCTTGTTTCAGGCGATACGGAGGTGCATTTAGTTCTGGTTGATCTACGACCAAAGGTAAAAAGATTTGATGATCATAATTCTTGGTTAACATGCTAACAGAACTAATAAAAACGACACACTAATCGAGTGATTTTGGCTCTTTAAACATCACACATTAGTAATATTTTACCAACATGACTTAGAAGGGTACCTTTGGTTATGTATTAACAAGAGACCAGCTAACATTCTACAAACATCTTCAGGCACCGATCCTGTTATAAACTATCGATTATCAAGAAACGTAAATTCTTTCCACGCACAAACACTTGAATTGATCTTTCATATATTGCGACTTTTAAAATCTATGCACCCACACTGCTTCCATGATGTTTTACCTTTAGAGTGCAACCATTTTTGCCTAATGTAAGTTGATCTGACTTTTTCTCAACGCTAAGTTTCCAATCTAAATGTTCACACACACACACACGCACGCACACAAATTACTTAAATGATTACCCACAAAGTGTTTTACCTTTCAAAAATAACAGCTGTAAGCCTTCCAAGGTACATAATGAATAACTGTTTATACCACAGCCTTCAGAATCCGGCTGAAAATAAAAAGTTGTATCTAAATTGCATCGGGTAAGTGATTTCTCACCCAAGCTGATGGATCATCCTTGTCGATTCAAGCAAACTGATGAAGGTGTTCGCTATTCAAAGAATTGGAAAGCGACTTTTTTCCGTTTTGGTAATGCTGCTATTTTGATCGATTTAATAACTCTGTTTTGATTCCAGAACATTGATGGGGCCAGAGTTGAAAGAGTTTTGGAAGAGGCGTTAATAACATTGAATAAGAATACGTGCCCGGGTGACATTAGTGCCATGAAACCAGGTGGCCTAAGAATAGGTTAGTTGTTTTATGAGATAATGCTGCAGAGATCCGAATTTTTTTGTCACAGAAACAGTTCCTCTAATGAAATGAGGTACCAAGGGCCTGTTTGCTTGGAAAATTGAGTGAGTGTGGTTGGCAGTATTTGAGCAAGAAATATGGTACCAAAGGCGAAAAGTAGCCAAGTTTATTGAAGCTCAGGACCCAAACAAGCGAATAAAATTTTGCCTTTCACAATTCTTCCAAACTAAAATTTTCTTGTCCGGTTGAAAGCTCATATCGAGGTTGCTTTGAAGGATAAAAAACAAAAGAATTAGATCTTTGATGCAAATTCGGTGCAGTATCAGACCATTTTTTAGGAATTCTGCCAGCTTGCTGTTTTATCACTGGTGTGATATATGTGCGCAGGGATTTAAAAATTGCTTTGAGAAAAGAAAACATTTTGAAACATGTTACCAAAGCGTTTCGTCTGACACTCTTCAGAGTATAAAATGTCGAAACACAGATTGTGTTTTCTATTTTTCAAAGCCATTTTTAATTTCTTTACCGCGAAAAGGTTGTTTGAAAACCAAATTGTCAGGTGATAAATTATTTGTCTCCGAAAATGTTTACATAGGGTTTTCAAAGGAACCAAGATAAGTGTGAGATCCTGTGAGAAACGTTGCAACAATAGTTTCTAAAGTCTGTTTTTTGATTTTATTGTTTTTCTAGCTAAGAAAATAAACAGTTCATTAGTGTCTTTTATTTAAAAGCTATGCGCGAGACCTAAATGACCCTAATGATTGATCCCTTAACCCTAATGATAGACTCTTAACTCTACTATGAATTAGTTAACTAATTGGAAAATGTTGCGAATAAAAACAAACTTCATAGCTATTGTGTCATCATGAAACGTATTTATAAAAAGCTCACATGATAAAATTTTGATAACAATGTTGATAATAAGATAATAAGAATATTATTTACAAACTGAAATATGATTATCATTTGTTGGATAAGTCTTGAATTTTCAATCACCATACTCATAATAATAATAATAATATTAAAGATATAAATAGAATGATATATGATAAAAATATAAAAATTGCGTATTCTTGATAAAAATGTAAATTTTAAAAAATACATAATAATACTCACCAAGACATATATCTGTAACCAGGATCCTAAGTTTAGTAATATTTTTGATGGATGACTTTGATGACGAACGAATCAATACAATATGTTTTCACTGCTAGGATCAGATACACTAACTCTCTACAGCTTGTGTAACAGTTAAATCCATTTCAGTTACGTTGTCTCTCTGCATGAATCTTGGTAGTCTTAAGAAGTAGTTGCTAGAGAGCAGTTGTTAGGGACCGTCAATTCTTGCTTTTCTTTACTTAAGTGTTCACATTGCTCAAGGAACTAGCGCCGCCATGATATTTTTAAAGGCATAAACTCGTCACCAGCGAGCCAAAATCAATGCACCATAACAGTGCAGCAAAATCAGTTTCAAAAAACCACTGCACCAAAACAACTTTACCAACTTCAATGCATCGAAACCACTGCACAAAATTAAATTCACCAAACAAACACAATTATATTAATAAACCAGCACACCAAAGCTACTGCAAAAGCCACTGCACCAGAATCATTGGAAAAAAATCAATGCAACAAAACCAGTGCACCGTTTGCGTCCATTAAAACCAGTACCAAAACAACACTGCACCAGATTCAATGCACGAAAACCACTTTACCAAAATAAATGCATCACAATAAATCGATAAAAACCACTTTCCTCAAAATCAATGTACCAAAATTCATGCACCAAAGTCATTCTATCGAAACCACTGCACCAAATCCAGCGCACCAAAACCAAGGCATCAAAGCCACTGCACCAAAACCAGTGTACCAGTTCAAGTGTACCAAAGTCATTGCACAAACTTCTGCAATGCACCAAAACCAGAACCGATCACTGTACCAAAATCAATGTATCAAAGTCATTCTATCGAAACCACTGCACCAAATCCAGCGCACTGCATAAACTACTGCAATGCAACAAAATCCATGCACCAGAACCAGCTGACCAAAACCAAGACGCCAAAATCCATACGCCAAAGCCAGCACAAAAATTATATTTTTTCACAATCGTAGCCAACCTTTTTTCCTCGCCACAGTATCACCCAAAGGTAGACAGTAGTTTGTATCGACAATAGTTTCAAACTAAAGGGCAAGTGCGTAGTACATATTGATACGCTTTTTCATCTAACTTTTTCTTTCATCAGTTAGTCTTGTTCACTTTTCGTTAAATTATTTAGGGTAGTAGTTTATTTTTCGGATGTAGTATGACGCATGGCAACTGAGAATCTGGGAAGCAATCAAATCCCTTTCTCGTGTGCTACGTTCTGTTCTAAACTTTTATTATCATACCCTACAGACACATTCTCTGTCTGTCATTCTCTGAATGTGCCAGCAGCAGTGTCTTAACATCTGTCAGTCCCTGAGTGTGGATAAACTGATCATTTGAGCTGCCATTTTATCATTGAAAGTGAAGCCAAATACCTGTGTCGATCATGCTTTTACCTCCTTGGTTTCTCGCACTATTCGAGCTTTCGCTCATTTGATACCCCTTAAACACTATACAAGCATTTGTGCCATTGCCAACAATGGCTTACGTTTATTGTTTGAGGCTAGTCTTGCAGTCTCTGTATTTGCAGTGAAAGACATCTTCCTTGTAGGTCTTAGTGACGTACTCATCAAAATGTTTAATTTCAATGCACAAAACTGCTAGCAGTGTAACCATTTTAATGCTAGGACACTACATGTTCACAACCTTATAACCGACTAAACTGACCTTATAACCGACTAAACTGACCTTATAACCTTTAACCCCTTAACAGTCTATAACCGAAACTCAAGTTGCAACTAATACCAACCTGTTGAACACCCAAAAGCGTAACTAAACTGACATGCTTTTTTAGTTTTACTGTATTTTGTTTTACTGTATCCAGGGAGAGAAGAAAACTTAGTGGAGAGAGTAGTTATTTGGAACCTTTCGAAGAGGGACTGATGGATACCCCTCTTGAATTGCTACTGATGGATACCCCTCTTGATCCATAGGGTATAAATGGTCGAAGGATTTCAACTGTTATGGAGCTAGCCGGTGTAACTCTAGATGAATACTGCATTTTAGATGATGTTGATGAGGATAACCCAAGTGGATGCCGTATGGGTAACGGGCGCCATCATTAATTTATGTTAATTCCAAACTGGCATAGGAAATGATTTATTATAGGCCATGCTTCACTATCCCGTATGCTCAAAAGAATAGGTCCATTATTTAGGTCTAATGTTATTTGTAATTCAGTGTCTTTGTATTCTTCGTACTTGTTTTGTCGATTTTCTGATTTTATGTCAATTTTAAATTTTTGAGTGGTTTTGGCCATTCATGCTGATAAATGCGAACATTTCCATTTCAATGTGTCGCAGTTGTAAACGCAAAATCATGTTGAAATGACCAACTTATATTCTAGAATTTGAAAACAAAATTTATGGTTCCAAGCTCAAAGTTCAATATTTCAAATTTTGGTGGGAAGATTATTTAAATTGGTTTCCATGTCGAAAGACGCTTCTTCTCACATTTACTTGTTATTTCGCAATACCGAAAAAACTCAATAGGGTCGTGTATAGTCACTGCTGCACGGCCAATGGAAACCACGAAAGGGCTAAATCGTGGCAGAGTACACGGTTCTGTCCTTACGTGATATCATATGGAAACGGTATTTTGTAAACACAGGTTTGATCGTGGATTTGCGAACTGCATCCGATTTGGTGTAAAACTGTATGAAGTGTGTAAAGCCTCGGGCATATGGTAATGCGATCAGAGTAATTCACAATTTGAAGCTTGCAGCATTGAAAGATCTTCATTTTAATCAATTTGTATTTTTGTGTGTTTATTTTTTTAAGAATAATAAATTCTAAGAATTTAGATTTGCTGGGTCTAGAAATTTCGAGATCGTGGCTTAGACCAGAATAAAAGCTGCGAATCGTTTTATCAGATTGATATGAAATGATGTAGCAATGAAGAAATCGTCATTGAAATTTTATCACAGTATCAATAAACATGAATGCAAAGTTTTTGTAAATAGGGGATGTTTTCGCAAGAAATGCCTAGCGAGAAAGTCTCTGCAAGCCCATGATTACTGTAAATCCTCGAATTGCCCCCCCCCCCTCGAAAAAGCCCTCCCCTTGAATAAGCCCCCACTCTAAAACTACAAACTGTCAATAGCCCCCCCTCGAATGAGCCCCCACTGCTACCGTATATTCTCGAATTGGGCCCCTCAATTTGACGGTTTTTGCCATCTAAGGTTGCCTATGGCGTTTTGTTGAATTACCACGATGAATTCGTACTTTTGGTAGTATTAATTAAATGCTCATAAAGAAATCCCTACTAAAATAAACAAGGTCTTTTAATAATGTCTTATTGTCTACAATAATTTTATAAGCCCCCCCCTTCGTATAAGCCCCCTCTCGAATAAGCCCCCGTCCAAATATATAAAAAATAAATAAGCCCTCAGGGGACTAATTCGAGGATTTACGGTATGATGCTGAGATCGTTTTGGTATGCGTGTTCAATGTCCTTGATAGGTCAATGCTAATGTAGACGGCCATTTTTGCATTTGCACCAAAGTTGAAGGTGCCAAAGTGTCATCTGCGTGGTGTCATCTGCGTGGCAAAGTGTCAAAATGTCGTGCATTTTAATTTAGCAAGCTCATCGTTGTGCTATGAAATTTGATTGTTATGTCATTAAGAATTCTTCAGGAGAAAGAAAAAACCATAATCTTTGAATGTAAAGAGTGTCGCTTTTGAGTGTCAAATTAGGTAACACCACTTAGCATCTATTACTGTACAGAGCTGATCATAAAAATATTCGATATTTTGAATAGGCTTTGTTGGAGAAATTCAAAAATCCTGGAGGATAGGCTGTTTACATGACCGTTAATTTTTATAAAAAATGTTTTAGGTGCGGCGGAGTATTGTGAAGGTAAGACGTGCCCCGGTCTCAAAGGCTTTCTGTCATGACCGGATACTGCCCTATAAGTCTCATATTAATTAAAAACTTGAAAATAAATCGATCATTAAATCACTACAATCAATCGATCAGTCACTCAATCAATCATTTAAACGAAAAGTCTGTTGCTAATGAAAACGCTTGAAATCCTAATTCCAGGAACACCTGCTCTGACGTCACGTCAATTCAAGGAACAAGACTTTGTCAAAGTAGTTGATTTTCTTGATGTTGGTGTTGAAATCGCTCTGGAAGCCCAGCGAAAAACGGGTAAGTGTCTCAGGTTCACTTTTCAAAGTATTTTAGTGAACCTGTAAGGTACCATTTGAACCTTAAAACTTCACAGCTGGTTCACAGCGTAGTGGCAGTTGAGTCCTGTATTCGTTTTGTATATAGGAGAGTATATATGAGTGAAGATAATTCCTTGAGACCATTTACTTTCCTCGCTGCCTTCATTCTCCCCAGTGTTGCCAATGCATACACATTTGAGTGACTGGTGGACAGTGGCCACGCGCTCGAGACCGAATGATTTCTAACGTACAACCGTCAACACTACTGTTATAAGTTTTAATCGCTTATACAAATCGTTAATCGTTTTACTCCTTTTTCCAAAAACTCAGTAGGGTGACCTCTATTGGATGCGACCTCAATCATTATTTACATCAATTTCTTTGTTTCCAGTCTAAGTTATCAAATCCAGTTATTGAGGGTGTTCAACATTTCATAGCAATCTAAAATCTCTTACTGTTTGTTTTCGATTGCATTAGATCCACTGACTGACTGCATTGCAACCTTCACTCATATCAAGCATGCATTTTTAACTTAAAGCAAAAATCTTGAAAGGGTGGCTTACCTACTCGGACTTTCAAATTTGATTGGATGACATTTTAAAACCAGATAAATCAAAGACTTATGGACAATTTATTCTTAAGTTTTTATTCTTATCTATTGGATTTTATCTATGACCATGACAACAAACCAAAACTCAGATTTTGGGATAGTTGGAGGGTCATTGTAGCCAACCTTCTGATAGAAGATGGTACCTGATGATGATGATTGGATTTCTATGAAAATGAAACATTCAGAATGCAGAAAGAAAGAAAAACGGTAACTGATAAGGTTCTGCAAGAATGATTAAGTTTAATAAAAGCATTTATGTTTGAACATTGCGTGGCAATTTTCAGCAGCTTTGGCATCTAATTTTTTTTATATTTATTAGAGATGTTATTTGCCATCATTTTTTCACCACGTTAAATTTCTTTGAAGAAATTCATGTTTGTTGTTTTCTGTCTTGTTTCAGGAAACTCGATGAAAGCATTCAAAGAAGCTGTTGTCTCAGATTCAGAAATTAGGGACAAAATTACCAAGCTCCGTGAACAAGTAAGAGAATTCGCAACCAAGTTTCCAATGCCGGGATTCGAACACAAATAGTGTTTGCAAATCTGTGTACATGGGTCTATCTAATGTTGACTAAAACAATGTATAATCAACTACTTCCAACATTTTGCAGATATCTAAATTTAAATTACTAAAGGTAGGTGTTAGCATTTGTTGATTTATAATTTAAAAAATGTAGGTAGGTGTTAGCATTTGTTGTAAGGGGAACGTTTTTCAAACACCATGTTCGCTCATTAACAAATTATTTATAGCTTTTGGTAGATTTTTTTCTAAGTTATTTGTTACAAACGTTGAATTTCATTTTTGAAATCAGAAATATCTTGCAATGTTTTGTTAGGCCTTCTCGTCTTTACAAAAAACAACGGGCTTCAGCATTTGCCGTTTAAAAGCGGGACTTTTTCACGGTGCCAGTTTTTTTCATCCAGCTTTCGATAGTGTCTAAAGGTTTGGTGGGGACCGATAGTGTTTGAAAGGTTTTAAAGGCGACCAAAATGTGACTTGGTTTGATGATACTTCGGATTAGATAATATATTTATTCAACTATTGCCGTTGATTATTCGGACACGAAAAGACAAAGCATTATCGAATTCGACAAAATACAGCGAATGTCAAAAGACGCTATCAGAAAGGTAATGAATGATACTTCTTTTTCACGCTGCTAAGTTAACTTAATTGCAATGTTCTGCATAGTTTCAGTCTGTTTACAATAATTTCAAAGAAAACATTGAATTAGTGCGGCCTAAGTTCAACAAAAATTAAGAAACAGAATTGTTCTTTGCTAAATGCTTATTTGGTTCAAGTAGTCCTTTCCTTCGGTAAAGCTCAAACACAGAAAGTTGTTTCAGCCTTTCTTTTGTCTATTTTTACGTTTTGTCCTTTTATTTCTTCGTCCTTTTAGTACCAGTGCTATGTAACCATGGCAGCTGAAGCAACCTGCTTCTCTATTTTGTAAACAAGATCGAGCTGTTCGACTGTTAACTTATTCAATTAATCTAACCAACTTATCTAAACTAATTTAATATAATCTAACCGACAAATCTTACCATAACACCATAAAATAGCGGCCTAATCTAGACAGACAGGGTCATTTTTTCTGCAGACTCTACGATGATATCAGGTGTTAGAGAACACTGGTTGGTCTAAACAGACCAAATTAGCTGACTTAGACATGTGTCTGGTTAGGGTAACCGTTTCATACTATAGCCTGTCACTTTTATGTTAAAGTATCGATACAAAAGTAAGAGACATTTACGACCAAAAATACCGCTTTTTTAGAAGAAAGATTGCATCTCAAAAATTGTGGTTTTCCAAAGCCTATAGGCTTGCCTTTTTGAGAGTTTAGGCAACTTTCGAAATGTTTTTATGTTCTCAAATAGTGCACTAAATAGACTGAAAAACATAATCAAACAATCCAAGAGATATTTTGGATGAATTAATCAAAGATTTTGAAAAGAAAAATTGCATCTCAAAAATTAAGATTTTTCAAAGCCTATAGGCTTGCCTTTTTGAGAGTTTAGGCAACTTTCGGAATGTTTTTTATGTTCTCAAATAGTGCACTAAATAGACTGAAAAACATAATCAAACAATCCAAGAGACATTTTGGATGAATTAATCAAAGATTTTGAAAAGAAAAATTGCATCTCAAAAATTAAGATTTTTCAAAGCCTATAGGCTTGCCTTTTTGAGAGTTTAGGCAACTTTCGGAATGTTTTTTATGTTCTCAAATAGTGCACTAAATAGACTGAAAAACATAATCAAACAATCCAAGAGACATTTTGGATGAATTAATCAAAGATTTTGAAAAGAAAAATTGCACCTCAAAAGTTAAGATTTTTCAAAGCCTATAGGCTTGCCTTTTTGAGAGTTTAGGCAACTTTCGGAATGTTTTTATGTTCTCAAATAGTGCACTAAATAAACTGAAAAACATAAACAATCCAAGAGATATTTTGGATGAATTAATCAAAGATTTTGAAAAGAAAAATTGCATCTCAAAAATTAAGATTTTTCAAAGCCTATAGGCTTGCCTTTTTGAGAGTTTAGGCAACTTTCGGAATGTTTTATGTTCTCAAATAGTGCACTAAATAAACTGAAAAACATAAACAATCCAAGAGATATTTTGGATGAATTAATCAAAGATTTTGAAAAGAAAAATTGCATCTCAAAAATTAAGATTTTTCAAAGCCTATAGGCTTGCCTTTTTGAGAGTTTAGGCAACTTTCGGAATGTTTTTTATGTTCTCAAATAGTGCACTAAATAGACTGAAAAACATAATCAAACAATCCAAGAGACATTTTGGATGAATTAATCAAAGATTTTGAAAAGAAAAATTGCACCTCAAAAGTTAAGATTTTTCAAAGCCTATAGGCTTGCCTTTTTGAGAGTTTAGGTAACTTTCGAAATGTTTTATTGAAATGAAATATTTTTATGCTCTCAAATAGTGCACTAAATAGACTGAAAAATAATCAAACAATCCAAGAGATATTTTGGATGAATTAATAAAAGGTTTTGAAAAGAAAAATTGCGCCTCAAAAATAAAGGTTTCCAAAGCCTATAGGCTTGCCTTTTTGAGAGTTTAGGCAACTTTCGAAATGTTTTTATGTTCTCAAATAGTGCACTAAATAGACTGAAAAACATAATCAAACAATCCAAGAGATATTTTGGATGAATTAATAAAAGGTTTTGAAAAGAAAAATTGCGCCTCAAAAATAAAGGTTTCCAAAGCCTATAGGCTTGCCTTTTTGAGAGTTTAGGCAACTTTCGAAATGTTTTTATGTTCTCAAATAGTGCACTAAATAGACTGAAAAACATAATCAAACAATCCAAGAGATATTTTGGATGAATTAATAAAAGGTTTTGAAAAGAAAAATTGCGCCTCAAAAATAAAGGTTTCCAAAGCCTATAGGCTTGCCTTTTTGAGAGTTTAGGCAACTTTCAAAATGTTTTTATGTTCTCAAATAGTGCACTAAATAGACTGAAAAACATAATCAAACAATTCAAGAGATATTTTGGATGAATTAATAAAAGGTTTTGAAAAGAAAAATTGCGCCTCAAAAATAAAGGTTTCCAAAGCCTATAGGCTTGCCTTTTTGAGAGTTTAGGCAACTTTCAAAATGTTTTTATGTTCTCAAATAGTGCACTAAATAGACTGAAAAACATAATCAAACAATCCAAGAGATATTTTGGATGAATTAATAAAAGGTTTTGAAAAGAAAAATTGCGCCTCAAAAATAAAGGTTTCCAAAGCCTATAGGCTTGCCTTTTTGAGAGTTTAGGCAACTTTTTGAATACTTTTATGTTCTCAAATAGTGCACTAAATAGACTGAAAAACATAATCAAACAATCCAAGAGATATTTTGGATGAATTAATAAAAGGTTTTGAAAAGAAAAATTGCGCCTCAAAAATAAAGGTTTCCAAAGCCTATAGGCTTGCCTTTTTGAGAGTTTAGGCAACTTTCGAAATGTTTTTATGTTCTCAAATAGTGCACTAAATAGACTGAAAAACATAATCAAACAATCCAAGAGATATTTTGGATGAATTAATAAAAGGTTTTGAAAAGAAAAATTGCGCCTCAAAAATAAAGGTTTCCAAAGCCTATAGGCTTGCCTTTTTGAGAGTTTAGGCAACTTTCAAAATGTTTTTATGTTCTCAAATAGTGCACTAAATAGACTGAAAAACATAAACAATCCAAGAGATATTTTGGATGAATTAATAAAAGATTTTGAAAAGAAAAATTGCATCTCAAAAATTAAGATTTTTCAAAGCCTATAGGCTTGCCTTTTTGAGAGTTAAGGCAACTTTCGAAATGTTTTTATGTTCTCAAATAGTGCACTAAATAGACTGAAAAACATAATCAAACAATCCAAGAGATATTTTGGATGAATTAATAAAAGATTTTGAAAAGAAAAATTGCGCCTCAAAAATAAAGGTTTCCAAAGCCTATAGGCTTGCCTTTTTGAGAGTTTAGGCAACTTTCGAAATGTTTTATGTTTTTAAAATAGTGCACTAAATAAACTGAAAAACATAAACGATCCAAGAGATATTTTGGATGAATTAATAAAAGATTTTGAAAAGAAAAATTGCGCCTCAAAAATAAAGGTTTCCAAAGCCTATAGGCTTGCCTTTTTGCGAGATTGGGCAACTTTTGAAATATTTTTTATGTTCTCAAATAGTGCACTAAATAGACAGAAAAACATAATCAAACAATCCTAGAGATATTTTGGATGAATTAATAAAGGATTTTGAAAAGAAAAATTGCGCCTCAAAAATTAAGATTTTTCAAAGCCTATAGGCTTGCCTTTTTAAGAGTTTAGGCAACTTTTGAAATATTTTTTATGTTCTCAAATAGTGCAATAAATAGACTGAAAAACATAATCAAACAATCCAAGAGGCATTTTGGATGTATTAATAAAGGATTTGAAAAGAAAAATTGCGCCTCAAAAATTAAGATTTTTCAAAGCCTATAGGCTTGCCTTTTTGAGAGTTTAGGCAACTTTTGAAATATTTTTTATGTTTTCAAATAGTGCACTAAATAGACTGAAAAACATAATCAAACAATCCAAGAGAAATTTTGGATGAATTAATAAAGGATTATGAAAAGAAAAATTGCGCCTCAAAAATTAAGATTTTTCAAAGCATATAGGCTTGCCTTTTTGAGAGTTTAGGCAACTTTTGAAATATTTTTTATGTTCTCAAATAGTGCACTTATAAACTGAAAAACACAATGAATTGTTATGCTCCGTGGATAAAAACTTGACTTAAAGATAAATAAGTTGCTTAGATTACAGCCTTTCTTCCATTCGAAAAATTCATTAGCAACGTAATTAGTAAAATAAAGTTAACATCTGATGGTTTCTATACACTTCATCTAATATAAAATTGGCAATTGAAATTTATGGCGCAACTTATATAATCTTTGGATAGTATCTATCCAACTTTTGGAGGGAAACAATTTTTCATTGAAACCTCAATTTTTCTGCATTTGAATCCTTCAATTTGGACGGAGAAAGATTCTCAGTTTCGCCATTCATGCTGGGTTTTAACAGTGTTTGCGAATTATTTCCGAAGTGCGAATTTCAATAGAGAAAATATGATTTTGCCAAGCCACACGACACTTGATTGATCATTGAAAAGTCCTTGGAATCACAAAAAGTTCCAAAGAATTTGGTGAAAACAAAGTAAGTTAAAAGTTTTAAGTTAAAATTAAAGTAAGCTTAAGGAAAATCTTTCTCGTTTTATTAAAGGTCGGCTAGACCTAATATTCTTAGAGTTACTGGCACTGGAAGAGGGGTTTAAATTATCGGTGCTACAAATGATTCTGCTTCCACTTTTACTTACTTTCGGCAACTTATAATCAATTGCCTTGCCAGTCAGGGACCACAGCAGCGGGGGGCCTTGCTCTTGGTTTTTAGCTCATTTAGCCGCCCCCCTCACCCAAAAAAATTGGCCCCCCTCAATTTGTAATACGCGCCAAGGTCCTTGCTGCCAGTAACTCCAGCATTGACAATAAGCGACGTAAATCTGCTCGTATCTAGACGCTCGTCAACCATGAATAAATTTATATGTACATTCAAACAAAGGGTTCGAAAGTGAATTATTAATTAAATAATCTATCCATTAGTTATTGCTTTCATTTGCCCCGACCTTGTACTTTCGTCAGCATCCATTAGAACCGCTTTGCTTGTATCCTTCGCCGCCCTTTTCGCAATTGCTCTGCAGATGAATTTTCACACGTTAAAATTTGATTTTGAAAATAGTAATTATTCCAAATAAGCAAGCTAGCAATGTCAAATTTTGATGAACTGGTCGATTTTGGATTTCGTAATTACACAAATGGGTTGATCAAGTGTGATGGAGAGCCTATGTGACTGAAATTTTCATCAATGTGCTAAAATTGAGATTATTAAGAAAATTGAGATTCATCTAAATAGAAATTTAAACGTTTTAAAAATAATGTTACTTACTTTGTACCAAGTTTCTTCACATTCCAGTAGGCCTGTAAACAGTTGTCGCCATTTATTATAAAAAACATTTTATGTTAGCAAAAAGAAATATCAAAACAGGAGATCAGTACTGACCTACTAACTTTCGACTCCATGTCTCATTTCAAAAAAGCTACTCAAATACTGCTTTATGTGAAAATTAAACGGGAAACCGTTTGCACTTCGCTATGCGTTCATGACTAAGTATACTCAAAAATTTTGAATATAAGATTTTGTCAAATGTTCATTTTAAGCGTTTTTGAATTACAATGTCGTGATAACTAATCGCAACAGTTTAAAAACAGCAGCAACAACAACAACGACAAAACAACAATACCATCTTTTCTATCAAATCTCTATAAAACCTGCTTTTTTATACAATTTTTCTAAATTACGCCTACAACTTAAAGGGACAAAAATATATCAAGAAAATATATTGCCTTTTCATCCTTATTAAAGCAGTATGAAAATTGACAATAACAGAAGTGCAGACATAAAATGAGCTTTGAGATCCAATTTTTTAGTGGAGCTACAAAAATTATAAAGAAATGTGCAAACCTGTGCGGTATTTCCTGCCGCTGCCATTGCATCTCCAGTGACATCACTTGCATCCTCGCCATACCTGAAAAACAGAACAGCCAAAAACAGTTACAAAAGTGGAAGAAGATGGAGGGCAACCTCGTTTGTAACAGAAAATGATTAAAAAATACAGAGTTGCCTAAATATTAACAGATTTGATAAAAATAACGAAAATAGAGCCACTCAAGAATGAAAATAGAGCCACTCAAGAATGAAAACAGAGCCACTCAAGTTTGTAAAGGTTCAGAAAAATGTCTCTCTTAGGTCAAATCTTGAGCAAGGTAATTTAAACGAGAGAAATCATATTGATCTAAACTTAATTATACTCCTTTTTAGATTTTAAAGTTTTGGCTTTGACTCAAGGAATTGTAAAAACTTTTGTGGACTCCATGCTTTTCCTTCAACTGCTAATCAACAAAGTGTTATGTTTTAAAATTTAGCCCAGTTATATTAGCAATACTGACATATATTTAAAGTCAATTCATTAAAACCCTAGAGTTGCTCCAAATTGAGACCCCCCCCCCTCCGATTCCAAAAAATGTTTTTTGTGCTTGTGATCGTTGGAACAGTAAAACAGCTTAAAATTTGTAATTGTAATGGCTCATAGAAAATTAAGATCTGAAAATGTCATACTTGTGATGGACAGTTTCCACAGTGGCCTTTGTTATACTTCTGTACAAGACTTTCCCTGATTCTTCCAATGAAGTAAAAACTGCACTGAAACCTGCGGATTGAAATACTTGAAAAGTCTTGAAAACATGAAAAAAGTTCACCAGAATTTTTAATTTAAGAAATCGTGACCAGCTGTCCTACAGCGACAGAAATTAATTCAAAATGTCTTTTAGCGAAGTTGATTGGATTATTATAGTATGGGTTACTATCTGACTGAGAAATCGCTATAAAAATGCGAAACCTAAATCTATCACCGCGATCATTCGCCCTTTTTACCAAACAACCAGTTTAAAGGCAGTATGACCCGATGCATTTGCTGGCCATTAAAAATTCCTATTGGTTGGAATACACCATAGACCTATTTTTACGTATCCAATTGTCTAATTCTCAATTTTTTCTCAATCATAAACGAGATGCAAAGCCTATTATTAACTGTGATGGTTGGCTGACAGACATTGGGCCTTAAAAGCTGATTCAAGTTAACTGTACACATATCCTTGAGTGTACATCGCATTAAGATTAATTTTGAAGTTTATTCTCGAGAAAAATGAAAATCACTTTCGTTGCAGTTGAATTTACCACCTTAGCAATGATTATTATGAAAATCATACTTGTTTATCAGAAAAACCTAGCAGAATCACCTTTCACTCCTGCAGCAGCCACTTGCACTAGTTCGTCCATTGTCTTCTTACCATCATCGCCATTCTTGTATTTGGCTGGAATGAGCTAAAAATCGAAACACTTTTATAATGCAAAAATACCCCAGATAAGAAATAAATTATTCCAAAATAAAGTGGGGGATGGATGCCTTTAGATGGTTCTGCGAGCTTTTCTCACAAAGCTTGCCATATGAACAAAACATTTACAATAAGAGCATCAAGTACCGAAATCACAGTATTTTCCAAGTAAATTTCAAGCAATGCAGAATTTGCTACCATTCCCAATTACTTGTTCGAAAAGGCCTTTAAAGGTTTTCTAACAACAACACCAACCTCAAACAGAAATTACCCGCTACATTATCTACTTCTTACAAACAAATGCCTAAGCTTGGCTGTAAATGCTACAATGTTAACAATTTGCACAAGATTTTGATACCTGAAGCAGAGATATTATGCAGGTATTTGGGATGGGAATTGGAAAAGATGAAGTTTATTCTTAAAATATCTGGTTTTACTTTTAAACTATATAGAAAACAATGCCATCACTTTGGGAACGAAATTTTGCTCTCCTTGTCAATTATTTACAGGTTTTGGCAAAGTGTACCGTGTATTGGCAAAAGATGTTGATGATACTCTGAGGACCCACCTTGGCTCCTTGTGTCCTTATAACAGGAGATAAGTGTCTGCCAAGTTCAACAGTCAATGTGCACAATGTTGAAACTATAAATCCACTGACTTTAACGGCAGCACCAGTAACCTCTTTGATTTGCTGAACATTTTTGACAGTTTCAGGGTCAACCTTTGATGGTTCTTCATTTGGTTGGAGTCTTTCTCTCAATTTTGTGGCTCCCTTAAACACAAAGTTAAACCAACTGTTAGTCACACACAGTTACAGTCCTTGTCTTTCGGCACATGCATGGAGCAGATAAAGCGAGCAATTTGATACAGGCACGAGTCGGATTTTTTACCTTCGACCTTCCTAGCACTGCAGTTCTTTAATGAAATGTTGGAAGCTTTGTTTCCAGCATTTAAGCAACCAGCCTTATTCTTACAATAACTTGTCGCTTGGAGTCAATAAAAGCACAATTTAAGGCAATTTTTAATAATATTGTTATCTAAAATTTCACCTTATCCTCCGCGGATAATAATTATCTCAGGAAATTTTCCACGAGCATTACTTTCGCCAAACATTTTCGTCAATTAGTACTGACTTTTCCGAAAATTTAAAAAAAATAATCTGCAAGTTTGCAACAATTTTTGTGTTTGAATAAATTTTATTTGCAAAATGTGTAAAATGGATCAAAAGTATGACAGTTCGCAAGTTCTTGTTGGCTGACAAAAAGTATGCGGGGAAAAACTGTATTAAGTTAGGTTAGGTATTTTTGAGCCCTTGGTGTTGTGCTAGAAATTAACGTTTGAAAGAGTTGTCTAAATCTTTTTGCGAATGAATGAATCGGTTTGCTTTGTTCAGATTCCACTGGTAAAAAGGCAAGATGGCGGCAGGGCTAATTTTTGTTCTTTTAATTTTCGTTCTTTTCGATTGCGTATAATTGTAATAGAAACAAGAAAAGTGACAAAATATAACAGCAAACCATAGTGCAGACCACCTTAAACTTAAACAAACTACTCAAAATTTATTAGTTAAAGTTAGGGAATGACTCTTTTAGATGATTAGGTACCTGTGGTAAAGCTTAGTACAATCTAAGAGTTAGACACGATCTGAAAGCGAGTGTGATTTTAATTGCTGGAAATACATCCAACCCACTAAAAATAACGTTTTCAAAATAAAGCCAGATAGGTAACATATGCTCCAACGAAAGTTGAAAGATGGAGGGGAAAAATTAAAAACTCATAAGAAAAGATTTTGTAGAAATTATCAAGATAAGGCTACTCTGCTTCTATTATCTTGCAAAAACTACTATCTTTCTAAATTATCTGATATCTTGCTAAAAGATGAAATATTTATATGAGAACTTAAGAAATGCAACTTAGGAAACTCTTTTTTGGTAAACAATGGAAGAAAATTTTATGACTGAACCCCTTTAGACATTCTCATGGCATTAAATTGCAAAACTGCAATACTGAAATGCAAAAGATAAATTCCGATCCAACAGCAATACTCAAGCAATATCTAAATCCACAAGTGACAGATTTGTCATATGAAGACAAAACCTCTTTATAAAAAACATACTTAAAAATGCTATAAGTTTCAAAATTTTGAAAACGGGCAAAAATTAAAATGAAATTGATAAACATGAAAGACAACCTACTTGCTCGACCAAATGACTTGTAACTTGAGCACCTTTTGCCAGTCCCCATGAGACCCACTTTGCGCCAATTAAAATACCACTAGAGACTTTATCACTCCAACTGCGTTCTTCTTCATCACTAATAGCTATCTCAGTGATTTCCCTAGGCTGGACAGGAACAAGCTCTCTGCCTGTTGTATTGTCTTCAACAGAAAAATAAAATAATTCAAAGCTACTGGTTGGCTCACATTTGATTATCATCTGGCAGAATGTACTCTTGTCTTCATACATAAGATAGACTAGAGCAGAGCTACTAACATCAATGCCCACATGGTAAATAACTTTCAAATAAATAAAGTAAGGCAAAGAAACCCCTTTACTTGTAATGTGGCAAATTACCGTATTTCCTCAAAAATTGGCTGATCTTTGAAAATAAGCTGATTCAAAAGTAAGCCGAAAAATATTAGAAAATACAGGAAAAATAGGCCAACCTCAAGAATACGCCAAGACACAGTGAAGCTAATGCATTGCACACTCCTTTAAGACAGATTATCAGTTTTATAAGCATCCATCCTTGAAATTTTATGCAGTTTTTGTTTAAATTGAAATGGAGGTTTCCAAAGGTCTCTGGTTAAGACATTGATGTCTGGATTGAAACCATATTCAAGTCAAGATGCCAATTCTTCAAATGCAAAAGAGTACATGTTTGATTACTGCATGGAGAACTTTGCACAGATTCAGAGAAGCATAAAGACTTACCATTATCACAAATTGTTTTTTCCTTATGATTTTGATATGTTGGGGGTGGTCTTGGTGGCTTTGCCCTGGCAATGTCACTTGCTGTTAGCTTTCTAAAATCACAATAACATGACAAAATCCTTTCAAATCGCTCAATTACTATTTCAGCAACACAACCAGCAAATACAATGCCTACTGAAGCTGGTTCTCCATCCTACAAGAAATCAGATATTTTAATGGTCAGAAAATATCCCAGTAAAGAAGGACAGGTGTGGGTTTGAGCAGGGAATTTAGTGTTGCAAAAAGCAAATTGAAAAATTGAATTTCATAATAAATTAGCACTGTATATTGCTAGACAGCTGAAAATGATGAACATTAAAAAGGGTGGGGGGAAATAAAAAGGAATTCAGAGGAAAAAATAGCATAGGAAGATAGAAACCGGTGCCTTTGAATAAGATGACAGTAAATTCAAAGTTAGCACATGCCTGTAAACTATGGAAGATGTCAAACATCAGTATCTAGAATATGCACAATATGTGGGAAATGTACACTAACCTGTGGCTGTAAACTGATATCTGGGAACATATATGTTCTGCTAAAAGTTTTTAATGCTGGGGAAATACCAGGGTGCAATGGATAAACCCAGTCACCACACTGAAGGAAGGCTGGTGGTTCTGTTGGATCTACAAACAAAAACATTTTGAGACAGGAAATTCTAACATTATTCTACTGCAGAGAAAATGTAATCAACAGTCATAGGGCAATTTGAGCTTTTACTGGTACAAGCTTTTACTAGTACTGTATACTACAACAAGGTGCAATATGAATGTTGCCAAAAAGGCATCAAATAAACTAATGTAATTAATTCTTTACAAAAATTATACACTGAGAAAGAAGAACCTTTGGAAATATCTGTAAAAGTTTTTTGTTTGTCAAAGGCATACCTTTATTCTCACCAAGCAGCTGAAATATCTTCAAATTGCAGGGAGTAGACCATGTACTTACACTTTTTCTTGAATCAACATGAAACAACCTGACACCTAAAAAGGGTTAAAATTCAGGTCAAGAAATGTAAATAGTTCAAACACAGCAATGGCCAGGGCAACTGAAGCCATCCCTTGAAATTTGTCAGGAAAAAGCATGTCAGGAAGTAAGAGTATTTTTTCTTCTTTAAAAAAATTGCAGTTTTCCACAACTGGTCATTTTCTTAAGAATATTCTGTGAAAAGCTTTTTCTGCCTGCCCTTGAATAAAATGGTGTATACTAGAAATTTTATTTTCAAACCTATTCTTATTCTAGGATTTCCACAATAAAGTAACATTACCTTCATCAATTGAAACTAAAGTTCGTGCATCTTCCCATTCACAATTTTTCATTCTATTTTTGTCAATACCATTTCGCTCATCTTGTTTATGAGCCTCTGGCAGTGGAGGTGCAGATGGCTTTACAACAGGCTGGCTAATCACTTGAAGCCTGTATTCAACATCATCTTTTGCCCTTCAAGAGGTTTATGTGAAAAAATTTAGCACTAATTTATGGTTAGTGTTATGTTAATTGCCAAGAAAAATGCTAGCCAACCTAATGTAATTTTAAAAACCTTTAAGTAAAAGTTATTTGATCAGGTTTATTTGCTCCTTAAGCTGATGATATTTTCTGACATAACTTAAGGTGAAACTTTGAAGTTGGAGAATATATATCGAGCAGTTGCGTTAAAGGTTTCCATTCCAAAATACATTTAGGTGAAAGAAGCATTCAAACAATCAATTCCAAAGCAAAATATTAAATAACCTCTTTCCGCATTGCACTGATGAAGTCCCGTATGCCAGGGGGAAATATTAGCTGCTATTAAGTGTTTACTGTTGTTCGTTCTCAACGCACCAATGGGGTGTTCCTTAATTTCTAAATGTTTATTGACTTTTCCTTGCAAGTATTTCATTGGAGTCCATTGATCAACTAGCTACTGTGACCTCACTTTTATTTTCATAAAAGATCAAATATCCTGGAGCTCTACAAAACATTTAAAATGAATACCATTGAAAAAATTTTGAAAGCTTGTAAACTCTGCCTGAAAGTAATTCTTAAAGCCTTTTAATACTCACGCTTTTAGTTTGCTTTGCATTTCTTTTGCCTTTTCACAATCTGCTGATCTTGACATCGTTGTATCTAACTTTAGTCCTGAATTTATCAACCGCAGTCCTGCAAAATTTTCATCACTTGATGAAGGTATAAATACCAGTTTATAGCTGTTGTACTCTCTTTATAGAAGTCAGTGGTATTTGAAAACGGAACGGAGCAAAAACATTACGTTCCTTGAACATATAACATTGTAAAAACAAAACTATTGAATGTGCAATACCTTTTTCATAACATAGCAATGCCTCAGCTTTCTTTCCATTTTCTTCCATGGACAGGCCTTCATTTATAAACCTGACAGAAAATAAACCATTTGATTCTACATTCAACCAAAATCTAAACAATGCCAGTGCAAACCGCGGAAAGAAATTCCTAATTCAAGAGCAACCATAATTGAAATAGAAACTTACTTGAAAGCTTGCGTATAACTAGATTTCAAGCTCTTTAGCACTTCTTTGTTTTCTGGCTCTGCAGCAACTTCCATCTTTCAACTTTTTTCGAAGTTTGGACGATTTATAAAAACAAAACTGCATCTACTGTTGTCATCCCTCCTCCTTGCGGCAACTATATATAGGACTTGATAAAGTTTACAGTTTTAGACAACTTATAAAAAATCTGAACATCATTCTTGCAAGAACACTATTACTGGTTTAATTTCTTTCATCACTGCACTCTATAAATGAGTATTTATTTACAAGTCAGACCATGTCGCACCACTTTCTTATTTTGGAAATTCCGTCACATTTGATTAGCCTCTTTTTGGTTTCCAAAACTATGAAATGTTGCGTGCGTCGATGAAAAAGATGAGAGTTAGAGAGTTGTCAAAACCATGGTCTAAACCAACCAACCTGTGGCGTCGCGAGGGAGGTGTACTCAAAAAGTAAGAGAGAAAGAAAATTGCACTAGAGAAGCTTTATTTGAAAACAAAGGATTTGTGAATCAGCGAAATGTTTTCAATATAGATGTGTTTGTGATAAGCCACAAAAAATCAGTGAAATACTTCCACCCTCAATCGGAAATACTTGATCAACAAAGCAAAATACTTTTGCATCGAATAGACTAGGCTGGCCAATGCCATTTTTACATCAAACATAAATAAGATAGGTAAATAGTAGCAGAAATTGTTACGCCTCAATAAATATATGAAAAATGTATGTTTGTGTGTATAATAATATTTAATGTGAATAACAACCTAAGTTTGAAAACTTGTTTTCAGTTTGATTCACAAAAACCGGCAAAAAATGTCCGTTGTTTCCTATCGGACAAATTAATAGTCTATTCTACGGTTGGTACTCTACCCTTAACATGTCCTTTAATAATTAACAAAAGTACTCAATTATTTGCATGGCTGAGTACTGTGCAAATAGATCACCCACTTAAAATATCTAGAAAATATGAAAGAGCTTTCTAGGGTGTTCCAACTGTGTAAAAACATACACAATTGAAAGTGTTAAGACTGGTCGACTTTAATGCCTTGAGCAGGATTTCAGGTTTGGAAAAGGCGTATTTGGAGACGGCTAAATTAATAAGATTTTTCGTCAGGTCATCCTCAGTTTTTTCAAAAATTTAACTTTATAGGTAAGAAGATTCAGATGTTGTATCGTGGATTAAAATCATTTTAAATGAAAAATGATTGAAACTAACCAACAAGACATCTTAAGAAAACATAGCAGATATCTGGCAAAATGAAAATGCACATCGAAGAAGAGTGATAATATTTAAGCACTCGTTTTAAATGAACACCATTACTATAAACCATTAGCAAAAATAAGCCAACGACTGAGCTGTTTGAGACTCACTTTAACTACGAGTCCTTCTTGGAGAACAAAAATACGCGTGTGTACTTTTTCAATACAATTAGAGATTCCCGAAGTTCTCGGAGAACTCCGATAAATGTATCCTATTCTAAGCTACAATCCCGGACAAAACTCGTGAGACTGCTTCCCAAATGCAATCCATTTCTTATTCAACATGACCCCCTCCTCCCTATATCAATTTTGGGGTGTTTTTATGGGCTAAAGTCGAGTGCTGGGACATTTAGCTCTCATACGACACCAACATTGACATAGGGGGGAGGGGAGAAATCGATATGTCCCTATTCTTCTTGAGAACAATTGATAGAATGCTAAATTTTTAGTTCAGAGTCAAGGAGTTTTGGCCTGGAATGTAGTTCAATGATCACTCCATTCGATTATTTCTGTGATTACAACATGAAACTATATTCTACAATTACCACAGAAAGTGTAAACAAGCATTTGATTTGCTTTCCCAACTTCATGTTTACTAGTACATTTCAGGCAGAGTACCATAGAACAATCCTTTCGTAGATTTTAAATACATCTGGAAAAGTTTCATAAATATAAACACAAAACATGAGAACAACGAACAGTTTTGAGAAACTTCATTACTTCGCCGAAAATGCCTATCAAAGAATCCTTATAGAAAACATTGGCAAATAAGAATCCTATCAAGGAATTATTTTCTGATTGATCGGTATTTAAGTCCATTTACCTAAAAAAAGGTCCCTGTTCTCGTATTCCACCCTATCTCTAGTTTTCATTAGAAGTTTGAATATCAAATTTTTCATAGAACAATTAATAGCTCCTAAAAGTAAAGAGGATAGACTAAAATGAACTTTTGCAGCCACGATGATCATCAATAATTTTGCTGCTCGAATTTCAATTATGAGAAAAAGTTTACTTTATGTTTGATGTGTTTCATGTTTTCTTTATGCTTCATGTGTTTAGTATCTAGACATTGATATCCGAATAGTTCACTCTATGCGAATACTAATTTAAAAAACATAGTTAACAACTTTTCTCAGATTTAAGACTGAAAGCAAATTACACCAAGTGTTAGCTAGTTATTGTAAGGTTTTAATAAGTACCAGTTGAAAACGCAAAAGGATCAGCAATTAAATAAAATACGTTATTGAAAAAATTCCAAAGAATTTACTAAAAAGTAATACTCCATCCAAGAGCTCGTTTGTCGAATCCTGCAGTGACGAGGCTAATGTTTTTAGAATTGCTGTCATCATACCAACAGGCTGAGCACACCATGCGTCGATGACCCTATATTGTAAAAAACAAGGCTAGTCAATGAAATAGGTAGAAAGTATCAAGCAATTTCACCCTGTAGAAGTCGGGCTTAGCTACTGTAAATTGCACAAACAAATGAACATTTCCCAAAAGAGGTACTTTTATTCTATCTTCTAAAGGCACAGAAATTTGTGCCAGAAAACTTCTGATTGCATCTAAAGAGACAAACTTATCAAAAACATTCATTCTAATGAACGAACGGCTCAAGCTGCTATGGCACGAGTTACTTTTTTTTAAATCACGCTAACAACAAACCATATGAGATTAGAGTACTACCTGCCGATGCCTTCTGGGTAATCTTGCTAGTCTATTGCCATTCAAATCGAACAGCCGAACCTGTCTATTGTCTTGAGGTATTGCAATGACATTTTGTATTGGAGAAATTGATAGTCTGCAAGAATGAAATACACGTGAATAATACATCATGCTGTTTTGAATCTTCTCCGCACGTATGGAAAATTAAGACATCGAGTATAGCTTCATATGAGTACAAGCGGAGAAAAGGGCTTGTATGTTCTTTACCTGTTAACTGCCGAATCCAAATTAATTGTCGCCAACGGTGCTCTCATGTTCTTTAGGTCCCAGACCTTCCAAAACAAAACAGAAAGGATATTTGATTCAAAGAAATAGAATTTAGGAGAAAGAATATAAAAGCAAGTACTGACTCGTAAAGAAGGTTCCCGAAAAACCCCTAATTGACAAACCTAAATAATCGAATGATGATTAAAATTGACTGGTATTTTGACTTCATATATAAAAAAATTATCTATATCATTGCGTTTATGAAAATGACTGTTTACCGGTCTGTTATAAAGTGTTCAATGTTGTATGGGCAGAGCTACACAAGCTTTCTGTGTATCGTCAAATTATTTGCATAAGCATGAAACTTTGAGAAATACCTTTGTGCCGTCCTATTCTATCTACATCATTATCCCCATGCATAAATACATATATTTACAAATAGGTTATCAAAAAGGATAACTAAAACTGACAACAAAATGGGAGCAGGTAAATAAATCGCTGGAAGAGTACGTTGGAGGCTAGAGTTCGAGTCCAAGTTTAAGGAATAATTCAGTCATTTCTCTTTTGTCTTCCAGCGACAGAGCGTTCAAGTGATGACGTCATCAAAATAAAAAGAGAATTTTCTAATTTGAATCAATTAACCTAAAATGCATCATTAAATAACTCTAATTGTGTGAAAACAGTTAAATGTGTACCATATTTGGCGAAATATTGCTACATGAACACAGAATCTTTCCCCATCAAATCACTGCAATTAAGCCTTTGTTCTAAACTTTAGGAGCCAAGCCAAAATAACAGTAACCCGTAAGCAAAAACTTCAAACCATTTATTGTCCATATCTAACCCAATCTTCGACATTTTTAGCTGGTTTTCCAAATTAGCAAATTAAACTATTCTAAACTATATTTTTGTGACGTCGATATAAAGAATTTTATGATTGGGAGTCCAGTGGTAACACTAAGGAGGCTAGAAGCAGTAAATGAACCTGTCACGGGCTCAGTGTTGGTCTTCCCCAATGAGCAGTTTGTATGCACAACTTACTTGTGTGTAACAGCTAACACGCATTTACCTTTCTCCAAAAAAGAATGTATCTGCAAATTTTGGTCTTACCTTGACCGTTCTATCATCACTTCCGCTTACTACATGTTCTGCTTTGTTTGTAAAGACAGCTGATGTGACCGTGCTAAAAAAGGAGAAAAAAAATTTCAAATGGACCTGAAGTGTCATAAGTAAAGCTAGAAATCTACAATAACAGCCAGGTATAGAAATAAGCAGCACATCATATCTTAAATTGTCTTTGCCAGAATATATCGAATCGTCTTTATACTGACTAGCAACAACGTAAAGGGCTCGTTTTGTGTAGCATTTCCAGATTAAGGCCTTGGAAAGCAACGAGGACAATAATTACTTTTCGTCAGAAATATCCGTGAAACCAGCAAAAACTTACTCTGAATGTCCTTGAAAAACATTGACTGAATGCATGGTTGGTAGTCTGAAATCCCAAAGGCGAAAGGTTGTGTCCCGTGAGGAGGAGACGATGAGCTTGTGAACTGCATGGGTGCAAGCATGGGTGAGTTCATTTTCGTGGCCTGTGGATGATTAAGAATATTTCCATTCACACAACTATATACAATATCATTTTTAGAAACATTGCAAAATCATACACATTGACAATACCTTAGAAAAATTATCCAATGCTCTTCACAAGGATTGGGAAGATTTGACGGCTAGCAGCCCCTTTAAGCATCCAGAGGCTCCTTCAATACTCATGCGAATCGTTTCACTCGAGATAATTAGTTGCCCTTGCAAATTTTTCCTGATATAAGCAGTGGCAAAAAAATGCAGAATAAATAGCATAAGGCAACGAAAAGAATAGGCAACATCACCTTCCAATGTGTGTACGACTCTGGCACTTTCAGCGTCCCACAACTTAATCGTTCTGTCCCAGGATGCTGTGACAATTTGTTTGCCATTTGCCCACCAATCGGCCGAAACGACTGGTCCTAAATAAAAAACAAATGATGTCATTAACCTTCATATATTCAGCTACAAAAAAAAACAAGAAAATGAATTTGCCATGATAAAAATACAAACAAACCGCAGATGCATATATAAAAGCTGGAGAACTGGGTAAATAAACAGTAATCATAGCATAAAGATAAGCACACTTATCTTAAAGATACGTAAGTAACAAAACTGGCGATGCCAAAGTGTAGGTCCCGTTCTTCCGATGACTGTGCTCAACTTATGACTAGAATACCTAGGTCTGAGCATGTTACCAACAAAGAAATGTTTAGAAGAGCAGAGACAAAATGACACAGGTAGCTAGCAAGCTAAAAGAAGCAAAGAGAGGCCGGTTATAACATACATGACAAGTACCAGTTAATAGATACCAGCCCACCTGCCAGAAGCAGAGAGAGATAGTTGCAAACAAAAGCCTGTGAAGAGAACATCAGAGGACAGGAAGTTGTGTAGATCCACTGTCACCTAACTCTTTAATGGACACAAAACTATGACAGACAGGCGTTCAACTTCCCAGAATTATGCACAAGTGAAATTATGCACAAGTGAAATTATGCACAACTTTAACCGGCTGACGCCCAGCTGACTTGAATTATGAGAAGTTCTGGGATAACTTAACATTCGAAAGCTACCTTTATCAATCACTAATAAAAACAGCTTTAGAAATATGTAAGCTCAAATTTTGGATCCAGCAAGTATCATATGAACTGACAGTCTCAAATTAATGCCATACATTGCCTAGTGGATACAAATGCCCTCTTTCTAATTGGCCTATTTCGATCCACAAATAGATATATTTTCCATCTTGTGCTTTCGGAACATCATTCTGACGTTTTATACCCTGAGGAGTATCAGGCAAAAAACTTTTTCAAAATGTTGTATAAAGTTTGCCTTTTTCAAAGCCATTTTCAAATTTTGTACCGCCAAAAGGAGAACAATCGACTGATTGATGTGGACTTAAAAAGCAAACAATGTTCTGCAGCCTTACCTTCGTGCCCACTCAGCTCTAAAAGAGGAGCTCGCATTTTATATGTATGCTGACCATCAGGTGCTAGAATAATTAACAAAAACAAATTAATTTAAAAAGTTGTATTTTACCTAACAAGAACTCTTCGTACGTTATATAAAAAACCCTGTCTAAAGTCATTTCCAACTGACATGTTCAAAAGAAAAAGGAATACCATATTGCCTTCAAAAATAACTTATATGCAGCTACTCATCTTTATACGCCCTAGGTGAAAGAAGGAATATTATAGATAGTTTCTGATATATTTTTGATACACTTCTTTTTAGGTGTTATTGATCACAAAAAACATATTACTAACTATTACTGAATGGTGACCACTACACCACATATCGGTCAGTTACCGTAATGCCTCGAATAAGCGCCCAGGTGCTAATTTAATTTTAGAGGCCCCAGGGTGGGCGCTTAATCGAAGGAGGCGCTTAATCAGGGGGCGCTTATTTAAAAACAGATTTGGGAGTAATTAAAAAAAATTAACGTGTTTTAAATTGAAGCACTTGTTTTCTTTCGTTCTTAATTCGCTCTTTCGTTGATAAATAGAATTCGAATAATCGCCCGTTTCTGCAGGTTGAAGGATGGTTGCTTATTTGATGGGTGGGCGTTTATTCGAGGGGAAGCGCTTATTTGAGGGGAAGCGCTTATTCGAGGGGGCGCTTATTCGAGGCAGCACGGTATAATAGAATGTTAATGGGAAAAGGTATACATAAATGAATATTTTCAAATGGATAAAAAGGAAAATTCTACCTTCTAGATCCTCATCTTGTTCATCGTCTCCAGAACCAGGACGAGAGCTCTGTGGGGTCAAAGCGGTCAAAGAATCAAATGGAGAAACTCTTTCCTGGGTTAATTGCGTGCTTAACAAAGAGGTTCGTGAAACAGAAGTCTATACAATGCTCACATACTAATTGCAAATATAAGTTGCATGACCCTCTAAAACAACAACCCTTTTGATAATAAATATCATTAGAAAACATTGTACTAGGTTTAACTGTAGAGCTGAAGTGGTTTTGTGTGTAAACAATAATAATAATAATAATAACAATAATAATGGAAACATTTTCATTTTAAATTCTTAAACACTACAGTTACAAAGCTCACAAGATAAGGTACTTTGTAAATGGCTTGCCTGTTACATAAGTTGAGTAAATGTTACACATAGTCATAACAACAGAAAGATATACTGACAATAGAGAATAACAAGACGTCGTTAAACAGATACAGGCTTTGGGTTGTCCCATGTTTTTATACGCCGGCAAAAGATGTAGTAGGTAGATCTAATGATGATGTTTGATAGTTTACAAACCACATAGTGTGTGTGTTGTTGATCAAGATTAAGCATGTCACACATTTCGAGGAAAGAAGTGGATGCTTGACCAAAGATACCAAGTGAACCGATAGAAAGGTTGACAAAAGTGACGGAATTGTATGAAGAAGACATGTCTGATATCAATGGTGATACTTGAGCCTTTTTCTCTCTGCATCGCTATCGAGATTTGTTTCGCAACCAACAGTAAGTTCAAGGATAAAGAGACTTTTGTCTTTTGTGATCAAAAGCAGGTCAGGACGGAATCGTTCTCCAGTGATGACAAAAGGAGAAAAGAATGTATTGAGATCAGCATTAAGAGATGACCCTTCAATGGCTTGTAAGGAGTTTGCAAGGGAGAGCAGGGCAGAGTTATGCATCCATGTATAAACCTTCGTTGAGATATGTTTTACAACCAGATATGTTTATGTTTATGTTAATAGACAGGAGAACCAGAAAACTTGATGCACAAATTGACTCACAATGCACAAAGCCTTCTATCCAAAGAATGACGTTGACAGGTTATATGTAGGAAGAAAAGACGGTGGAAGGGGGCTTATTTCTATTGAAGATTGTGTTGAGAATTCTGTGCTCGGTTTGAGAGAGTATGTTGAGAACAGTAACGAAAAGCTATTAAGAGCAGCAAAAGACTGGTATGAAGAATGTGAGGAATCTGTGGATGACCTTAAAAAACGCAGAGCAGCAGAAAGGAGGGAGAGGTGGAAAGAAAAACCAATGTATGGACAGTTCATAAGACAAACGAAGGATATAGCAGATGATATGTCATGGGCATGGCTCAGAAGTGGAACGTTAAAAAGAGAAACTGAATCACTGATTACTGCTGCACAAGATCAATGCATTCGGACAAATTACATCAAGGCAGAATAGATAAAACCCAGGAAAATAGCCTCTGTCGTATGTGTGGACAAAAAGAGGTAATGCACATTATTTGTGAATGCACTAAACTTGCACAAAAGGAGTACAAAAGGAGACACGATTTGGTAGGAACAGCAATCCATTGGGAATTATGCAAGCAGCTAGAATTCAATCATGCTGTTAAATGGTATGAGCACAAACCAGAATCTGTCCTTGAAAATGAAAAAAGCCAGTTGCTGTGGGACTTTGAAGTGCAGACGGATCATCATATAGAAGCTAGAAGGCCTGATCTCATAATTGTTGACAAAGGAACGAAGACATGTCAGATTGTGGATATTGCAATACCTGGAGATCACAGAGTTGAAATGAAAGAAAGAGAAAAAAGAGAGAAATATCAAGATTTGGCAAGAGAACTACAAGTTTTATGGAATAAGAAAGTAACTGTTATTCCATTAGTGATCGGGGCTTTGGGAACAGTTCCAAAATCATTGAAAAATAGATTAGACCAAATTGGAATCCGAACAAAGATTGAAACCATGCAGACCACCGCGTTGCTGAACACAGCCAGGATCTTAAGGAAAGTTATGGGGCTCTAAGGAGGCTTGTTGCCACTGGACCTTCAAAAAATCCAACAATAACGGTGTGAAATGAACTCAAAATAAAAAAAATAATAATGATAATAATGATAATAATATCTTATTTATACAGGTTAACTTTGGTCAGCAACAACGTGCTGTTATCAATAAAGGACCTGTCTAAAATACACATGGATTACCGAAATAAAAATTATATACACCATGAAGATGAAGTCTTAAAAGTCAAAGTTGAAATTTTTACATAGATACATTACATAGATTTTTACATACATAAATTATGAATTTATTAAGAACTTACACTAGGAGAATCTAATGTTGATGGTGATTTACTTCTGAAGTCGGTAAACGATAAACTTGGCTTCCATATATGACATGTGGTGTCTCCAGCCCCTAAATTAGAATCAAATCTGCATTTAAATGGACAGAAGAATGCTTAATCGTAGTTTGAAAGCTAAACCTGGAACTTTCGGCTATAATCAAAAGGTGGACCCGTCAGAAATACTTGGGATTAAAAGGAACATCATCAAAAAGGCTTATCAAAAACCCATTGAGAAATACAAGTAAGAATGGGAAAACATTAAAGTCCTTAAATTCTCATAAACCGTTTTGAAAAAATATACAGTTGGGATAATAATTGCAAAAATACCACATGACAACTGAACACCATAATTAAGGGAAAAATCTAGAATTAAATAATCGCCGGAAACCAAAAAATAGAAAACGTTAGATATTCAGAAAACACTATCTCTTAAACGTTTCCACCGATGAAGACTTCGGTCGAAACGTTTAAAAGATAGTGTTTTTTCTGAATATCTATATCATTTTTATTACACTCGGTGCATGAGCTTTTGAAAGTATTCATATATATATAAATATATAAATTGGAGTTTATTAAAATTGGATTATACTAGAAATATAATAAGGTTGTGAGACACTAGGGCTGTACTGAGGTGCTCAAGCAAACTCAATGCCCACGTTTAATCAACTATTGTTTAACAATATATAACAGACTAGTAAGAAGGAAGAAGAAAGACTCACCTGAACAAATAAGCTGATCAGTGGGGTGAAAACGTACGGAATTGACTGTAAAGGAAATCAATATTTGTCAAGATTGAAATATCTACATTCCTCAAAAGTATAGCACCCTTTACAAAGGCAAAAACATTTTGATATATTATTAAGACAGCAATTGTGAAACGAAAAACCGGTCTGAACAGACTCGTTGTTATTTTCTAATTCATTCCATTCAACCGAAAATAACAAATTTATTTAGTAGCTAATTAAATTTACTTGTAAGTGTCTTCCATAACAGCAATACTAGTCAGTTTAGATATCACAATCAGGCTTGCATACGCAACTCCATTGTAACCTACTTAAAGACTTAACTCTTTTTCTTTCTCCGGGGACTAAATAAAGTCAGTTAGTAGCAAAACAATCCCTCCCTCCGATATTGAAAAAGTGCCCACTTTATTCTTTTAAACATTGGTGAGCTAAGTTAGATCGGCTTAAATCGCGGGATATAATTTGAAACAGTTTCATTTCTCTGAATTCAAATTTAATAACTCAATTTAACAACTAAAAACTAAGTTGGTTTCACTCTTATTCAAAAATTGACACCATTGACAAAGCGTGGCATTTTGAAGTGTGACCAAATCATAGGGAGGGGCCCAGGTCACTGACCGCCTAAGCATGGGCAATGGCAACTGCCTTTAAGCAGTCTTGATTCACACACGGTAGGACGGACCAGAGCGGCAAGAATAGAGGGGGGGGGGTCGCTAGATAATGATTGACATCACACCCTCCAGGTGACTGGAAATGCCCATTCTCAAAATCTAGTTTTCAACTTCAAGATAAGGAATATAAGAAGATAAATTAAGTAAATTTGTCCATTACTTTGCTACAATTGACTACCAAAAAATGCTTTTTACCGAATTAAAGCAAAATTTACCGAAGAACACAAAATATTCGCACCCCTCCCCAAGAAGAGGGTCGCACCCCCCCCCCCCAAGGAACCCAAAGTTGCCCTCCTAATAGGCAATAAAAATGCTAAAATGAAATTTTTTATCGGTAATGCTTTAAAAACCTTAGAAGAATCTGCTTGAGTTTTTCAAATCCCTCGAAATTGTCTCGAAGAGTGCCAATTTGAATAAAAACATCACTAAAGGCTACTTTTGAGTCAAGTATAATTTCATGTTTCTCTTTAAAACATGTCTGATTTGCTCACTTTTTAATAATCTAATAGAAATACAATTAGCGAAACGAATTGCAATTGGCAAAGTCACATTTAATAAGATGTACGGACTAAGATGTATTACCTGATCCGTTGTGACCATGATACTGTGTGAGGCATTGCCCGCTTTCGATATGCCAAACCCGTGCAGTGCGGTCTGAAAAATATAAAAAAACAACGTCGAAAAATATTTGCAGAAAATTGGGCAGGCCCAAATATCATCCAAATAAATAGAAAAATAATACTTGTAACAAACGTGTTTCTATTCCCGTGAAAAAGATTTTCTAGGGTAATTACTACCATGTTCCTTATTAAAACAAAGTAATGTAATCTTTAACATTATTTGTTTACCATAAAAGCTCTATCAAGCTTCCTCTCTTATAAGTCCCCTCTCTATTAAACCCCCTCATAAAGCTAAAAGTTAAAATAAGCCCCCCCCCTCTTCAGTCCCTTATCACAGAATAAGAATATTCTTAATCTGTGCCCTTATGTTATGTCAAACAAAGAAAACACGCGCATTGAGTGGGTCTTTTGACGGGAAACGGCCCATTTAAACATCATGCCGTCGGAACGAGATATGGGGGGGGGGGGCTGCCCATTGTATTGTCTCTCAATCAGTACACTGTTAAAAGGAAACAAGGTACAGTTTGACAGTTATTGGGGGGGGGGACCTCCCACCTTTCGACGCCGACGGCCCTGTTAAAGATTTACTTGTGCGCCTTAGAAGTCAAATATTTGATAAAGATGTGGACATTATATTTGATTTTAATAATTTTCAAAGATGCACTTCATTTCAAAAAATCCTGTACACCCCCTCTGAAAATCCGAGAAAAAATCCGAAAATCCGCAAGGATCCTTTAAAAATACGAGAATCCCTGCAAGTAGTCTTGCGATCCTAAAACTAGTTAAGTCTCTCAAATGTGCCATAGGCTATGATATTTATTAGATGTTCGGAAGGTGTATTAAAAGTCAGCTGAACAGTGCCAAAAATTTCAGCAATGCTCAATAAATACAGCAGAGACGAAGATGATAAAAGACTGGATGCTAATATTGAGGTTGCTGCGCTGGAGCTTTCTGGTTACCATAACTACCATCAGCACATGCTTAGTACGTTCAGTATCCTAAGCTCGGTCATGGAGATGCACGGAATTGAAACCATGGACAGAAACCAGGGAGGGGGACAAAGGGGCCCCCGGTTTTCAGAATGCGGTAAAGCAACTACTTGCAGATTACAGAGGTTCCCCTCAAAAGACAGAGATGTCCTTTTTTTACTACATATGCCGCCGGGACACTCTCCCCAAGTTCTCGGCAGAATCAGTAGCGGCGGCACAGGGAGACTGGGGGGATATGTCCCCCAGTTCTCGGCAGGGCTAATTTGTATCTCGTCTAAATTCGATGAGAAAATGTTAGGGGGGAGGTAATATTTTGACAACGTACTTTTTGTGATGTAATTATATGATTTTCAAACTGCCTTTGCGTAGACAAAAGTTAGTCATGGGCATTCCCTTCAGATAAAATTGGCGTTCCCTTTTGGGAAAAAGTCGTTTTCTGATGGTAAATAGAGGGCCACCCCATTTTTTTGTTTTGCTCCCCCTTAGAGGTTAGTGGCTGTCACCGCTATTGGGCAGGATCAAGTTTGTGTTGGAGGAGGGGTAATATTTTGACAACATATTTGGCAACATATGTAATGTAATCCTTATATATCCATATGTAATCCTTATGTAATGTTAAATTGGCGTCCCCTGCTAGTAAAAGGGCGTTTTCGGGTGACAAATAGGGGGGCTTAAAAGGGCGTGGCGCGAGCCGCCATTGATTGCAGGAACCTTGGCAGAAGCAATCGAAAATGTCTGAAACATTTTTTAGGGAAAGTTTTGTGCGTCGTGGAAGTATTTAGTGGGGAAAATGGAACGATACGATAGGATAAGTCCAGCGTTGGTCTGCAGGGGAAGGGGGGATTCAAATTTAGAGGGGCAACGTAAAGTAGAAAACTACAAAAATTGCATTTTGTCCCAACAATTTGACTGGGATTAGGCTAGACCTTCATTATTTGCAGAGACCTCTGTAATTTTGATATTTGTTTCTGTTCATAACATTGCAATTCGTTAGCAAAATTCAACTGTTTCATTTGCCATATATAGCCCATATTCTATAGATTTAACCAATTGACTCTATAGATTTGGCTTTTTTGAAGTATTTCATAATGTTTTTTAAGGTTATGCAGCTAGAATCCAAAAATTCTAGATAATATACTTTTAGACGTCACACTCAGGAAATGGTAATGAGTCATCTCGGATTTCATATCATTTAATTAAAAAGATTACCGATTTGTTTACGATACACTTACACATTGTTATTGGTATAAAGAATGTTTAACGTCCAAGAAAAATCCCAGGAAATCTTTAGAAATTGTAAGAAATTGCGGTGGCGCTTTGCTGCTCACGAGACGTGTCCTGGGGCTTAAGGCTGGGGTGAAACCCGTTTTTATAGCTTTTATATTTTTATGATTTTATGAGTTGGAATTCTCAGTATTGTGCGAATGTATGCAAGAATACGACGTACGTAAAACCGAAGGAACTCTCACGAAATTGGAGAAGATCACTCTTGAACGTTGAAACTCTCTATGCGAAGTTGAATTCTACCAAAGACAAAGACAAAGTGAACGTTGAAACTCTCTATGCGAAATTGAATTCTACCAAAGACAAAGACAAAGTGAACGAACAGACAAGTAACACTTATCGTATTATATTTTTGTCATATATATATATATTTATATATATATTCATTTTTTCCTTATTCGATATTTATATACAGTCCTCTTAGAACAATTTTTCGTACCTAATCTAACTCTGCTACCCTAGGTGGAAATACCAAAAGAATTTCCCTACCTAGGCCTGATATTGAACCTAAGCAGGGATAATAATCTAAATGGTCTTAACCTTCGCCGGATTTATGTTATTGATTTATCTATTTGAGTTTAAATGTTTATGGGGATGTAGATAGGTTTGTAGCCCACAATGTCTCTTGATAGCGGCAGCGCCACAGCTCCCTCTAGGCCAGCTTCAACATCCTTGCTTGCGAAAAAGAAAAGAATCCGAGGAGGCTACAAAGCTCACTGTACAAAATTAATAACTGAAGCAAAACATGTTTTTGAATCTGATGAAGTAAATCTCTTTAAACTCGAACATTTGTCTGTGTCATTAAAAGATAAATTAACTGTTTTGCGGAGTATTGATGATGAAATTTTCAACCTCATTGACGACGATGATGTAGAAGCTGCAGTTTTAGAATCTGAAGAACTTAGGTCTGAAATTCAGGGATTTATTATAAGAATAGATGCAAAACGGGACGAGCTCAAACTAGGAGTAACAAAAAACGTGAGCTCGACAGAAACCTCTTTACCTAGCCGCCAAATTTCAGTGCCTGAAAATGCAGCGAAATTGCCAAAACTTCAGTTACCCAAATTTCAAGGTGACCCAAGAAAGTGGCCAGAATGGTGGGATGCATTTGACGTGATTCATAACAGTACATCTCTAACTCCCACCAACAAGTTCAGGCATTTGAAATCTCTCTTAGAAGGCCCAGCAGAAACAGCGATTTCGGGTATACAAATAACCGGGGCGAATTATAACGAAGCAATAGACATATTAAGACAGCGTTTTGCTCAAAAACAAGTTATCATAAATGCACACATGGAAACATTACTAAATCTACAAAAGGTATCGTCTGACAGGGATCTTAAGGCTTTTAGAAAGCTGTTTGACACTATCGAAGTAAATGTGCGTAGTTTAAAGTCTCTGGGAATCGATTTTGAACAATACGGGGCACTTTTGGTTCCAGTATTAATGAGCAAAATTCCTGATGAAATTCGTTTAGAAATTACGAAGGGGGCAAAGGGTGAAAATTGGAAGCTTGATTATATCATGACTATTTTGAAAGCCGAACTTGAAGCGCGTGAACAATGCAGCCTTTTGAAGCAAAGTAGTTCTAGCACAAGTAAAATAAATGCTGCCAGCGCGCCGTACACAACATCAGCCTTTTTTTCGTCGGATGGAAAAATCACATGCTCATTTTGCAAGGGAACACACCAGTCAGCAAAATGCCACATTGTTTCCAACCCACAAGCAAGAAAAGAAATCCTGAGGAAACAAGGACGATGTTATGTTTGTTTGAAAAAGGGACACTTGTCAAGAGCCTGTTCTAGCAACATTCGATGCTATTCCTGCAAACTACGTCATCATGTGAGCATATGTGAGTCGAGAGGTCAAGCACCCCACGCTGAGCTAGCTAATCCTCTACAGTTGCATCAGTCATCAGTCCATCAGGGTGTTAATCCCCGAGCGCCTGGTGTTAATTTTGTACAGTCAGAG